GGCTCTCTGCGAGTCTCTGCTGCCCAGAGGCAGGTGCGTCTTAGACTACGCCAAGTTCTGTGTCAAGCCCGACATCATCGAGTGGAAGCTGGATTGCGGCTACTTCTGGGTCGGCCAGTGGCACTACACTCTGGCTGAGGCGTGCCGCCACGGCAATTTGGATGTAATCAAGTTCCTGGTGGATCACCCAACAGGACAGCAAGTCATCGACGAGATGGGCCGCAGCAGAGAGCTCTCGAGTCTCGTGTGCTTCCCTGCTGCCAAGGGCAACAACAAGGCGATGCAGTATCTACTCGACGAAGGGGCTGGCGGGCCATTCGAGCAGGCGATGGTCAGCGCCATCTGGATGTGGCATCTTGGCTGATGCGGTGATTTCCCGAGCTCAACCCTGCGAGCTTCACCCCGCTTGCTCTCGCCAAGAACAAGTTCGAGGTGCTGCTGTTCCTACACGAGCACCACCCGGAAGCCTTCACGCCCGACTTCGTGCGAAGCGCCCGTCTGCCTATCACGGGACTATTGACGCCAAGCGATGTCCTGGTTGAAGCTACACTACCCCGTGCCAGACATCTCCCAACTTGCAGGAGGGCTTCCTGAAAGAGTGGCGCAGCAGATCGCGAGGCAACAGGCGAAGACCTGATCTCATCACTGTTCAGCAACTGGCCGGACAGGGCCCTGGTGGGGTCAACAACGCTATGGCGATCGTGATGAACCATATAATGGTGAGGGTGAAGGATGGTGACGACGATCAAGTGCTGTGGAGCTCATTTTTGCGTGTTTTCGATTCATATATCGTGATTTCAAACAAATCGTGCAATTTCACTACGCAGATGTTGGTTGCCATTCGTGATCGCACTTATTTGAAACTTTTGGCCAGCACGGGCACACTCTTGTCAAACTAAATCAGAGCTTCCTCTTACTCTGACACTTCATCCCGACGTAGTGTCTCGAACCACCCCATCTGCCGAGCACACGACGTCGCCAACCCGAAGAGCGTTGGCACAAAACAACGAGTTGCGCTCGGAAAACTGGACGCCGATAGACTCAGCCAATGCAACAACCACCTTCCGGCCTAGAGTCACAGCTTCTCTGGGCCCGCCGAATACGACATGCTTGATACGATCTCCGTAGCACACAAAACCAGGTATAGGAGCTAGCATATCCTCGAGTTCGGAGGCGTCTTGGGATCCGGTAGTCACCAGGTCAAAGTAGAACGGCTGCCCGTCCATTTCATCGAGCGTCTTCTGCTGCTCATAATCGTCGGTCACATCTGTCAAAAGCCACTCCAAAGCACGAAAGGTATCCGGACTCGACGTTTTCCCCAGTCCCATATCCTCGCATGCTTTCGAGTAAGTTTGCACTAGCACTCGAAGATCTAAGAGGATAACTTTGTGAAGCCGCTTCAGCAACGAACAATCGCTTTTCCAATAGAGCTTGTGACTTTTTGTCGACCGAGACGCCAATTCGAGCGGTATTCACCACAAACTGAGTGAAGCTTGGACTTGTGTCACAAAGCTCGCGGACAGGAGTGAGAGCGGGAACCGTGACAGCAGGGTGGTCCGTTCGATGAAACCTCTGCATCAAGTAAATGACGCGTGAAGCTTCCGCAAAGATCATGTTGCGCGCGCGAATAGACGAGCTAGTGATCTGGTCAGGCTGAAAACTCCGTAGCTAGCCCCTGCAAGCTCACAATGAATTTGCTAGCGTGATGCGCATCGTCGGCTTTGCAGTGCACAGGGATGCTAGTATCTCTCAAACGATTAAACACAGCCGCCGCAGATCGTCTCAAGGAGTCCTCTAAAACAGAAACGCCAATTTGCCCGTCATTTGCTGGAATCTCCGCGCCCACTGCAGCAAGTAGCTGCTTTAGTATTTTGGATTTTTCCGCAAGCTCATCATCTCCCGTTGCTATTGCCCTCGGTGCTTCAGTTGATTGACCGCCCTTCGCTTTGCCCTTCTTGTTCTTTTTGTTTTTCTTTTTGCACCTTTTCGTCTTCTTTCCTGCATTCACGGCGGTGTTCAAGCTTGGGTGTTCCACGTTCATCCGTTCGACTTGCTCAGCTAGAGCATCCACTGGAGTAGAAGGCAGTTCGATGCTACGGGACCGTGCACTCCCGAGCAAAGTGACCGACTCTACCGCAACGGTAGCATCGCACATTGTTTCCCTGTGACTGCTGGGGTCCAGCGGTTGCAGCACTCGAGAGGTCCATGGGTTCTGGGCCTCCCGTCCTCACTACCGGGCGTGGCTGTGGCCTCGGCACATGTGCATGCAGTTTAGCCTGCCGCAGGCTAAACTCCTCCTGCATTGCAAGAGTAATTGCAGCTTCGAGAGTACTCGGGTACTCACGGAAGAGGTAGGTCTTCACAGGCCCATCTGTCAGTCCCTTCATGAACGTGACGACCTTGGTCGCCTCGTCGATCGGATTGGTCAAAATGTTCGAGACCAAGTACTGCGCTCTCTGAGCGTAAGCATGGACATCATGCTTACCCTGCTGTAGGTCGAGGAACTCTGCCCTCGACCGAACATTTTGCGGGGGCTCAAACGCTTGTCTGAGCTCTTCCTTGAAACCCTCGTACGTGCTAAAGCACGTAGGATCCGAGAGTCGGCGTCCATACGCCCAACTTCTTGCACGTCCGCCAAGGCATGACATGGCGAACGCAACCTTCGACAACGGGTCGACGATACGTCGAGCCGCAATGGCGGTGTCGAGTTCGACAAGCCACGGAGGAGAGGTTCACCCTCTCTTCCGACATAGTTGCTCACGCTTAGCTTCAACGTTTGCTCGCGCGGTGTCGGCCCCGACGCCAACGTGATAGAGGAAGCAGCATCACGCTGCTCCTTCATGATGAATCCCAGAGCAACACCGTGTTGCTCCGTCGGCGATAGTGTGCGCAGCATTACAGCTACAGCCGCTTCTCCAATGACTGTTGACAGTCGTTGGAGTGCCTCCCACTCTGGATCCGACAGGTGGAGGCAGTTAGCGCGTGCAACATGAGTTGCAGGCGAAGTGGAGCTTTCCATGGGCACCTCCGCGCTCATGAAAAGGTTCTCGGCTCCTCGTACAGCTCCGTACGAACGTTCAGGTAGTCGGTCGTTGGACGGACTACAAAGTGCTACCAGGTGTAGTGGGCCTACCTTAGCTCACTACTACGGCTTACACGTATGCGCACGTGTATGAGGAAGCGTAGGTTTCTTTTACTTGAGTTAAGTATAGTCGAGATCCACGAGTATACTTTAAACCAGATAAAGACTCCAAGTAGCGGGTTTTGGTAAAAGCTGAGAACTGCTATTTTTGTTTTATGTTTCTGACTTCCTCAAAATGTAATATTCTAAACTAGGAATCTGCCAACGGCTGATTGGCAGGATTCTGCTAATATACAAGTCATTCATTGGCTAAAAGATGCTTCTCTCAGCCAATAGGAATCCTAAGTCTCTATGGACCACCCGTCATGGTGGTCGTAAATGTATGTAGCCATTGGTGTACCTTACACCAAGGTCGAGGAAGTGTTGAACCTCTAACAGACATCGCATCTGTTAGAGTAACAAGTGACTGTAGCCACTTGTGCGTGTAACCCTGTTACATCTTCGGGTCCCGCGCTACCGTCTACACCACGACACACGCTCCTGCCACGATCAGCAGGACAAGGGTCTCCACTCTCATCCAGGTCTACAGAGCCTTGTTGGCCATCGCGTCCAGCTCCGTCGAGGCGATCGACGCCGTACGCCCCTCCGCGACACCGGCGGTGGAGCCGCTCAACCCCCTCTGGTCCATCCAGCTCATCGACGCGACAAGGTTCAGTTACTCCGGTTTCGAGGCTTCAACCCTCAACGCCCAAAACAAAGCCATCGTAACGCTGAACGAGCTCCAGAGCTACCGCTGCAGTCACCCCGGCCGTACTGAGCCCGCTGTGCTTGCCGATAATTGACGCGACGCTCGATCAAGACTTCTCGGCGCCTGACCCAGCCGCAAGACCAAGCAGCAGCTCCGCGAGTCCTCAAATCACGCTTGTTCAACTTGAAGCATAGCCCGGCGTTTGTCGGGCAGTGTGTGCAGGCAAGGCGGCGACGCACCGTGGCAAGCAGCGAAGCCCCAACATCCGCTCTGGAAGCTCTGAGCGGCGTTATTACCGAACGACGATAATTTCTCCGAGTAATCCTAAGAAAAGTTGTATGAAAACGCGATGAAAATGATGAGTGATCTGGACTACAGAGCGCTCCTACGACCACCACCTACGAGCGGTGTCCCGGTCCTCAGTTCAGCTTTTTCGGCCGCTGCAGCAGCCAACCCCCCCCCCCCCGTACTCACGGTAAAAAAAACTCCGCTGCTGTGGTGCCGAACTAGCTGGACTCACCTCGTCACAGAACCACCGAACGGACCGACACTCAGACCCCCCCCCTCCTGCAACCACCGGTATGTCGCCGCGCTACCTACCGTGCCTCGCTTCATCATCATCTCGCCTTTGCGCATGCTATCTTAGCCGCATACTGCTGAATGTGTATTAGACTTTAGGATTATTCTATCTTGGTCGCAGCGCGCCAAACATCATCCGCCCTTTTGTAGATAGATCAAATATTGCTGCACAAACTACTTGCATAGCAACTAGAAAACCCGGTTGCCTGCTATCGGCAAATACCCTCTCCTCCTTCATTCAAACTTTCAGAGCTGGCACCTTCGTACTTAACGTTTACTCTTAAGCTCTGGAAACGAATATCCTACTGAACGAGTTTGCCACTCCACCGAAAAAGCCTCTGCTTTTACGTGAATTTCAAGAAACCATGCGATTTCTAAGATTATTAAATGACTTTACTTGATTTCAGTATACTTTTACTTCATGTGCGCCACATATCAGGTGCATCAAATTAATCCTGTTGGGCTGTCCATAATTCGTAACCGAAGCACTACCAGGATAAGTCGTCACCGTATCCCGTCGGCATGTTGTTGGAGCGAAAAAAAATCCGATGGATGTCGCTTGTGTGGCAGATAAACTATCTATCACAGGTATATATACTTGATTAAAGGGTATGCAAAATAATAGGTAATTTGACTTAATCTCAACCGGATGGGTCAACATAGCAGCATAATTTGATTAGATCGCAGGCTATCCAGTATAACAGGTATTTTAGCTATTAGCATCAGCAGCGCTCAAACCCATATTTGGCAGGTATCTGATGTGAGAATAATGGCACCTCAGTGGCCTTCACCCATGGACTCTGGATCTGGATAAAATCCAGAGAACAACGCATATCGTAGTGCAGATAAGCCCACCACGCCACGATAGGCTGCACCATCAAAAAATAATATCGTGGACACCTGCACTCCTAATTTCCCACCCCTCGGACGAGACGCGGGGGGGGGACGATCTCCCCCCACGAGACGGGAGACGTAAAACCTCGAGAGACCGTCTCCTGAGGTTTTACGTCTCCCCGAAACTCCCGGGGAGACACACTTAGAAGATACGATAGTGTACTGCGTCTCCCGTTTCGAGAGAGCCATTGGCCCATAATCTATCCTATAATAGTGGTTGTCAGACTTTGATGCAAGCCCTGGATGCAAGTAGGAGCATTAGCCAATGACAGGATGCGAACTTTGACTACGTTTCCAAGCTCGCTGGATCCAATCAGGCAAAGGGTTAGGCGACCTTTCGCCTAACTAATCAGGTGACCTTCGCCTCATTCAAAAAGATGCCAACTCGTACTCGCTGGAGGCCCGTGCTGTAGCGCAGTTCGCACTGCAGCACTAGATGGTCGCTGCCCCGCCACTTGCTGTAATCTGCCTCCGTTCCAGGACGACCTGCAGAGATGACTTGCCGTCGGTGACCGCATCGTGGTCTTAGAAGACCGGCTTCTTCTTGGTCTTCGCGCTTAGTTCGCTTGCCGCGACGAGATCTTCGTGCTGTTATTTTGTGTGTCGCACACTCCTTGGACTCCAAGTAATCTCCTGTAAAGAAAAGGCTGGGGTAAGATCTCTTGTAATGCAGGGGAATTTTGTCCAATAAGATGATGAGATTCTTCTTGGAAAGCGGCTTGCATCCAACTCTGACAACCACTAATAGAGAACCAGCGTTTTAGCATATTCTGTAGGAACTTCGCGGAAAGATCGCAACATATTGCGGCCAGGCCTGTCGAAAGGCCTGCTGACAGGCAAAGTGCTTTGACCAATCGCAGAAGGAGCCAGTGAGAATCTGACCAGCGCGTAAAGTACGCATGCACTCCAAAAGGAGACGACGAGGAGAGACGGAAGTTTCGTCTCCTTTTCCAAACACTTTTCAAGGGGGAGACGGTAATACCGGGAATACCGACTCCTCCTGGCAGGGGAGACGGTATATCGATAAAACCGTCTCCCCGCCCAAAGTCTCGTCCGAGGGGTGTAATTTCCATTTTTGATCGTCCGTATCGAGTATCGTGAGCAGCCATGACGACAACAATAACACTGAGGGTAGATGGAGCGATGGATTCCAGGATGGGTTCGCGATCGGCTGACCTCGACTGCAGAACGAAGGCTCCTCGCTGTCTGGTTCGTCATTGGCGAGCTGCCTCTCGCCCTCCAGACCCGCAGTTACGTGCAGTTCGTCAAGCCGCACCAAATGCCCGCGAACCTCGTCGTGTCCTCCGATATGCCGAAGCAAACTACAAACCTGACGACTTTCTGTCCTGTGACGGCCTTCGTGCTTGCTGGAGTTTGGTGGAATTTCGAGGCGACCCACTACTACAAAGCGGAGCAGGGCGTCGTCTGCCACGCTGTCGTCCCGCAGTACAATCTGCACGGCAACTACTTCATCGGGAGCTCCAAGACGACGCCGTACCGCACGACACCATCCAGTTGCGACAACGACAGCTACCCATTCGAGCAGTATTTGTATCACGGAAGTGTTGGGTACTATTCGTTCTACGAGGGCGAGGTGGGGACGTACTGCGCCACGTCAAAGACCGCCTACATCATCGTGGAAGTGCTCGGCTCCTATGATATTAACGGGGCGTTCTTGGCGAAAGACACGGGCAGTACCAGCTCGAGGAAGTCGTTCTGGTATGGCATTGCTGGATTGACTTGGCTGGTGTATCGCTTGCTTTTGATCCGCCGGAGCTACGTGTCGTGCCGACGCTACGGACGAAGATGCGACGAATTAGGAGAGAGTCTCAGGTACTCGGAGGCCATGCTGTTTGTGCAGGAAAGCATCCGCTTAACTGCGCACGGAGCGACGAATTACCAGCGCACAGCTCTGCTTTACCTGATCGTGGAAGGAATTATGACGGACTTGTTCCTGATCATCGCCAACGATGGGTGGATGTCCCGAGTGCAGTACGCGTCCATGGGCTACAACTTGTCCGGGCTGATGTTGCTGCTGTTCGAGATGCTCGAGAATACGAATCTGCTGAAGGAAAAGTGGCGGCTGAGGATCAAGAGAACCTTCTTCAGCTACGAGACCGCTCTCGTGGGCGAATTCGTCGGTGCGATGGTGTTTCAGAGCTTTCTATCGGGGTTGAATGACTCGGACCTCAAGAGATCGAAGGAGACTGCTCTCGCGGTCTCGTACTACTTCTGGAGCCTGGTTTGTCACGGTATCGTCGTAGTTGTCGTCATCTTGATGATCGCTTCTCTTCGGGCCCCTGTGCGTTCATGTACGTATGGTACAAGCACCGCAGTTTGGCCGCGTTGTCGGAGCCTTGCTGTGTTGACACGGCGGTGGGGGTACGGAGTCGAATCAGTCTTCTAACAGGCTACAGCTTTGAAGACGGTAAATTGTTCTACACGGCGGCGGCTCTGAAAGGATTCGGCATGCTCAAGATGGAGGAGTCCTCCAGGAGGACTACGGTGCTGAGTACTTGGTGCTGCACAAATTACACTGGTTTACAGTTCCCAGAGACAATTTGATCGGGTTGGAGTCATCACGGAGCAGCGAGTGGAGCCTTGCAGCGAGCGGCCCTGCACGGGGGTGATCAGTTTTCTGGATAAAAGTCTGGGCGGTGCCTCAAAGCAGACCGAATGTTATCATCACACTAAGAAGCCTAGTCCAGTCAAAGTTCTGGCTGGGAGTGTGAGGTTAGACGACATCTCGGAGCCTTACTACACCAGTTCTTCGATACTAAATTGCTTTTCACGTGTAGGGGCTCCTATCGTTCAAGGTGGCTCCTCCTGCTCCTGCAAAGCGGAGCAATTGCCCACCAAATCCGAGTCAGCAACATCGCAAACTACCCGCAATCGCCAACAAGATCACGGTAAAGGCTAAGAAACCTGATAACACTCCCACGATCGTGCATCTCATCTATGCAAACACAACAACTGAACGTGGAAACCCGAGCACGTTGGTGCAGCCGCTTTATTCCAAGCCTTAAATGGTAGCTCAAGCTTCAGCGATGCTGATGCGAGAGCTCTCAGGCTCAGGCTCTTCCCAGACTTCTCGTGGCACCTCCTTGTACTTGGTCGAGTGTTTAACCTGCAGGGACGGCATTTCGTCTTCGCTGCTCGTGGGGCTCTGGGGTGAACCTTCCAGCTTCTCCATCGCGACCTGAGCCAGTGGGTGGTGATACAGATACATGGAGATCACCAGCACGCCCAGCCCACACCCAAACTCAAGCGACGGCGAGAAGGCGAAGAAAATCATGGACAGCAGCGTCGTCAGCATCATGGCCATCGAGTGCGAGTAGACACAGGCGATATTGTCCAGATACTTGAGGATACAGGCCATGAAGATGCCCCCAATGGAGTTCACAACCACCACCGTCACCGTCCACCCGCTGTAGTCATGAAAGAACCCGTCGAGAACCAACGATTCCCCATCCAAGAGCAGCCCAAGAGCGTTGAACAGCACTCCGAAGCCGTACATCTGCAGACTTTGCCATAGAAATGGACAGTCCGCCTGGCGCTTGAGCGTCCACTCAGCGAAGACGCTCGCACAGGAGGACAGCGTCACCCCCACGAGAGCGAGGGACAGCCCCAGCGCCACGTGCTGCGAGTTGTTATCAGAGCCCCCGGCCTGCTTGAATCTATCCGACTGACTGGTCAGCACTCCTAGTACCAGCAACCCAATAGCCAACTTATGCAGCTCCGACAGGGGGTTCTTCAGCACGTAGCGGAATAAAACCGCAGTCAACAGGATCTTGAGGTTCCAGAGCACCGAGACCGTGGCGGCGTCCAGGTATCGCAGCACGACGTAGTTGAGGTTGCTCTCCAGTGCGTTCAGTAGCGCAGGGACAGCGTAAAAGCCGATTTTCTTCATCTGGAGCTGGTTGGAAGGCACTGGAGCGTCCGCGACGACGATGGCGGCCACCATGGCCGAGAGCTTGACCACTTCGATGAGGAACGTGACGGTGACGCTGCTGTAAGGCACGAGGCCGTCGACCTTGGACGCGATGATGCAGAGGTTCCCAGAGCACAGGAAGACGGCAGCCACCAGCATCAACACGAGCGTCCGCCCCAGCTCCATCGCTATGGCGTTAAAAGTAGGAGTGAGAACCATTGATCGACAATCCCGTTGAGTGCGTCTGCGAAGGGGAGGAACTTGGTCGAATGGAACGATGTACCACCCAAAGTTATGCGATCCGAACGTGTAGAATCCATTCTCTAGCTGTTAAGTAGTGGCGGAGGAGAGTAAACCTACGCCAGTTCGTTTGGTGCTTCTGGGATTTCGTCTAGTTTCTCGGACATTGCCAATACTTGCACTGTGCGTTTACTCGGAGATCGTTGATGGCAGTCCGTCTGAATGGAAGCACCCCCAAGCCTCCTGTCTAGGAAGCTGACGATGCCCGTGCACGGTCTCTCGTTGCAGGGCTCCACGCGGGGGCCGGTAATGACTCCGATCCCGATCAAATTGTCCCTCGGCACTGTGAACCAGTAGAGTTTGTGCATGACCAAGTACTCCACCCCGTTCTCCTCCATCTTGAGCATCCCGAAGGCTTTCAGCGCCGCCGTTTCGTAGTAGAGTTTCCCCTCATCCCATCTGTAGCCTCCAAGCAGCATTACTCGACTGCGCACGCCTAGAGCGGTGTCAACACAGCATGGTTCCGACAATACTGCTAGTGACTGGTGCTTGGACCACACGTATAGCAACGCCCACGGAACCCTCACGCTGCAGATGATGGACACGACACAAACCACCACTATGGCGTGACAGATTAAACTCCAGAAGTAGTACGACACTGCGAGCGCTGTAGGCTTCGACCGCTTCAAGTCTGACCCATTCAAGCCCGAGAGGAACATCTGAAACACCAGAGCGCTCACGAATTCCCCGATCAGAGCCGTCTCGTAGCTGAAGAAGGTTCTCTTGATCCTCAGCCGCCACTTTTCCTTCAGCAGATTCGTATTCTCGAGCATCTCGAACAGCAGCAACATCAGCCCGGACAAGTTGTAGCCCATGGACGCGTACTGCACTCGGGACATCCACCCATCGTTGGCGATGATCAGGAACAAGTCCGTCATAATTCCTTCCACGATCAGGTAAAGCAGAGCTGTGCGCTGGTAATTCGTCGCTCCGTGCGCAGTTAAGCGGATGCTTTCCTGCACAAACAGCATGGCCTCCGAGTACCTGAGACTCTCTCCTAATTCGTCGCATCTTCGTCCGTAGCGTCGGCACGACACGTAGCTCCGGCGGATCAAAAGCAAGCGATACACCAGCCAAGTCAATCCAGCAATGCCATACCAGAACGACTTCCTCGAGCTGGTACTGCCCGTGTCTTTCGCCAAGAACGCCCCGTTAATATCATAGGAGCCGAGCACTTCCACGATGATGTAGGCGGTCTTTGACGTGGCGCAGTACGTCCCCACCTCGCCCTCGTAGAACGAATAGTACCCAACACTTCCGTGATACAAATACTGCTCGAATGGGTAGCTGTCGTTGTCGCAACTGGATGGTGTCGTGCGGTACGGCGTCGTCTTGGAGCTCCCGATGAAGTAGTTGCCGTGCAGATTGTACTGCGGGACGACAGCGTGGCAGACGACGCCCTGCTCCGCTTTGTAGTAGTGGGTCGCCTCGAAATTCCACCAGACCCCAGCCAGCACGAAAGCCGTCACGGGACACACCTCAGTCAGATTAGCCGTCTCTATCTGCAGATCGGGGGGCACCACGAGGATCTCGGAGATTTGGTGCGGCTTGACGAACTGGAGGTAGCTTCGAATCTGCAGACAAAAAGGCACGACGCCCATGACGAGCCACATGCCGAGCATCATCCGCTGTGCATTCACTGATCGAGCCGCTGCCTGCAGCGCCGGCGAGTACAACGTCCTTTTGCTCATCACGAACGCCTTGGGGGCAATAAGCTGGGGCTTGAGGTGAGCTCGAAGTGGGGCTGGAACGCAGTAGGCGTGTCCGTCTCATGATGCAAACCCGAAACGGACGGTCGAGGCTCGAGAAATAGCAATCATGTTCATGCTCTTTGGGATCAACACCACGCCACGTAGTGCACGTGTCAAGGCGCTTCCCTCATGTCATAGCGCCCGAGTCCTAAGTGAACTCTTCACCACGCACTCACGCACAGCATTGTCGGCCTAAGTGTAGCTTCAGCTGAAGGTAAAAGAGTTAAACGGCTGTGCGTAACTCAGCGGTGAATGATCGAGAAGCGCGTTGGACAGCACAACCGCCGAGGATGGTGTGTTGTAAGTAGGCTAGCTAGAGAAAAAAAGGGAGGCAGCTTCGGTGAATATGCTGATCCAAGCTTGTGATGTTCTCTTCGAGTAGAAGCAATTGTATTGATTCTAAGTAAGTGGTCCAGAAAATGTCTGTTTAATTAAAGTTGAATTCTTTTGGGTGAACGACGGTCAGCTATGCTAGAGTGCGACTTGGTTCCCACTTTCAATACCTGCTACCAGGTATAAACGACGGGGCTGCTCGTTTAGGATCAAGAATAATAAAAAGTGACTGTCACTTGAGCTGGAATTGCACACCCTGCTCTACTTTGATGGCGGGGCTCGTGGAAACCCCGGCCCTGCTGGCGCGGGGACGGTGATCCTACAACTTGGCGGCGCAAGCCTCCAGCCCGCCGTCCTCTGGCTGGCCAGCGTTTCCTACGTGTCGAAGACCACGAACAACGTCGCTGAATATCGCGCTCTCCTTAACGGCCTGCGTTATGCGGTACGGCACTCAATGGTGGGATTGCATATTGTTGGCGACAGCAATCTCATCCTAACACAATTGCAGAAGCGACGGGTACCAAGGGCTCGTCACTTACAAGGGCTTTACGGACAGTGCCGGGTGCTGGCGGACCGACTGATGGTGTCTTCATGGTCACATCACCTGCGGCACTTCAACAAAACAGCGGACGGCCTAGCAAACATTGCTATGGACACCAAACAAAGCAAGCAGGCGACGGCGGAAGATATCTCCCGCTTACCGCCGCAGTGGACAACCGTACTCGAGTCCCTCCAAGCGGACGTTGAGCACTGGATGGACACCAACCCGGATCGGGAGGGCATTGGCCGGGCCTCCCCTCGCACTGGCGCACCGTAACACGTGTGCATCTGCTGCCACCCTTTGGGCGTAGGCAGCACACCCTCCAACGATCCTTAAGCGCGGGAGGGCCGGGCATTTACTAGGTCGTTAGCTAGCCTAAATGACTGTATGTACCTCAACTTAAAACGAAAACACTTGAGCTGGAATTCTGGCTTCATTCGAACTGCGATAACCAAACGTGTCGTCTTCTGCAAACTGAAACTAGTCATGTTGCTATCCAGGCGCCAGCGACCGCTTTAAACAGTGTCACTGGTAGCGCTTCGAGGAAAGAAAAATGGTGTTGGAGGCTGGAGAAACCCATTGTTTGGACCAGACCAGGCCATGACTCGATTCACGCGGATGCTGCGGGTATGATGGAGATATCCTGCTTCGTGAGGAGGCCCCCCTAGCTTCCGGTCGAGAAAACTGATGATACCCCTGCAAGGTCGCTCATTCGAAGGCTCCACCCGCTCGCCCGAGATGGCTCCAATCACTATGAAGCTGTCTTTCGGGACGGTAAACCAGTACAATTTGTGCAGAACCAAGTACTCCGCTCCGTCTTCCTCCATCTTCAGCATCCCGAAAGCTTTAAGCGCTGAAATCTTGTAGTACAATTTACCGTCGTGCCAGCAGTAGCCCCCGAGCATCATCAGTCTGCTACGCGGCCCCAAAGCCGTGTCAACGCAGCATGGTTGAGATAATACTGCCAGTGATCTGTGCTTGTACCAGACGTACGCCATGGCCCAGGGCACGCGCACCGACGAAATAATCGCGATGATCACTAACACAACAGCGCCATGGCAAACCAGACTCCAGAGGTAGTAGGACACTGCGCGGGCGGCTGGCTGCGAGCGCTTGAAGTCCGACGCGTTTAATCTGGATAAAATGGACCGCCATGACCAGTTCTCCGACCAACGCTGTCTCGTAGCTGAAGAACATTCTCTTGATCCTCAGCCTCCACCTCTCACTCAGCCACTTCATGTTCTCCAGCATCTCATACAGCAGCAGCATCAACCCAGATACATGTAAATTGTAGCCAAGCGAGACGTACTGCGCTTTGGAGGCCCAGCCGTCGTTCGCGATGATGAGGAACAGGTCGGTCACGATTCCTTCCACGATCAGATACAGCAACGCCGCTCGCTTCAGATTCGTCGATCCATGGGCTGACAGTCGCAAACTTTCCTGCACAAACACCATGGCCTCATGTTGGCGGAGGGTTTCGCCCATTTCCTCGCGTCTTCGTCCGTAGCGGATGCAGGATACGAAACTTCGGTGGATCGTAAGCGAGCGGTACACCAGCCACATTGCCCCAGCGACTCCGTACCAGAACGAGACTCGAGGCTTCGTACTTCCAGTGTCTTCAGCCAGGAACTTGCCGTTGATATCGTACGTTCCAAGGACGTCTACAGCCATGTAGGCGATTTGATCCGTAGTGCAGTAGGTTCCGATCTCCCCTTCGTAGAACGAGTAGAACCCGATACTGGCGTGGTACAGGTAGATCTCAAAGGGGAAGCTGACGTCGGCGCAACTTGACGGGGCTGTGCGATAAGGGGTCGTTCTACTTCCCCCGATAACGTAGTTCCCGTGCGTGTTGTACTGCGGCACCACAACGTGGCAGATGGTAGAGTTGCCGACTCTGTAGTAGTGTGTGGGGTCGTGGTTCCACCACACTCCAGCCAAGATGAACGCCTTCACTGGACAGTGCTCCGTTATATTCGCGGTCTCCTTAGGTATGTCAGGCGGCGCCACAAGTTTCTCGGGTATCGTGTGGGGCTGGATGAACTTGAGGTAACTTCGAGTCTGCAGTATCAGCGGCAGCACTCCTTGGAAGAGCCACACTGCCAGTAGCATGCGCGGCGCTGTGAGCCACCGCCCATTTGTTCGTGTCGTCGGGTGACGGAAGATCTGTAGCTGCGTGCTCTTCTTCGGCGCCACGTGGACGACCGTGGGTGATGCCGGTGCCAACGCGTTGAGCTTAAACATGTTAGACGGACGGGTTATCGATCCGAAAACGGCGCAGACCCAAGAGCACCGTGCACTTTGGTAACGGCTCGCGATTACAACTTGGACCATACGACGACAGCTCACTTGAGTAAATGTGCGTGAGCAGGCCGGTTTCGACTAAAGGCGGTCCAAAACTTGGTTCTGGCCATCGTCTTTCGTCTTTGGTACTGCTTTTTGATATGAACGAAACTATTCGCTGAAGAAGCTGAACGTGTGATAAAACTAGAACTCGGATGAGGTTCTTTAACTGTATTATTTTCGGAATCTAACGACCAGACCCAGAGCTGGCAGCACTCTGGGCTAAACCACTGCTGCATTTTCCTTTAGGCCTCCTCGAAAGCCAAGTTCGTCGTAGGCGTCGAAGGCATTCCATCTCCAGGTCCTGACCACGCCATTACTTGGCTTCCTCGTACGTGTTGAACAGGGGCCTGCGGGCCAACTTCGCTCGAGTCGCCTCCTAGCCCCCGGTCGACAAAACTAAGGATACCTGCACAAGGCCTTTCCTTACAAGGCTCTACTCTGTCGCCTATAATAATGCCAACCACAACCAAGTTTTCTCTTGGAACGGAGAGCCAATGCAACTCGTGTAAAGCCAAGTATTCGACGCCCTCCTCCACAGATTTCAGAATCCCGAAAGCTTACAGCGCTGACGGCTTGTAGTACAGTTTACCATTAGCTCTTTGATAGCCCCCCAGTAGAATCGTTCTACTCCGCACTCCCAGCACTGCATCAACACAGCACGGCTCCGATAATATAGCGAAAGATCGATGCTTCAGCCACACAAACGTCAGAGCCCAGACTGTCCTGACCGACGCAATAATCAAGACGACATCAAGCACTACCACACAGTGGCAAATCAAGCTCCAGAAGTAGTACGAGACGGCAAGCGCTGCTGGTTTCGATCGCCTAAAGTCCGACTGGTTTAAGGAGCTGATAAAACGCTGGAAGACGATAGCGATCACCAACTCCCCCACTAGAGCGATCTCATAGCTGAAGAAAACCCGTTTGATCCGCAGTCGCCACTTTTCCTTTAGCAACTTTGAACTCTCGAGCATCTCAAACAGCAGAAGCATCAACCCCGACATGTTGTAGCCTAAGGACGCGTACTGGACGTTGTTCAACCAGCCATCGTTGGCGATTATGAGGAATAAGTTGGTCATTATACCTTCCACGAGCAAGTAGACGAGCAGTACCCGCTGCGTATTCATCGCCCCATGCGCAGAGAGCCGCAAGCTTTCCTGCACGAACACTATAGCATCGTGGTGGTGAAGTCCCTCGCCCATGTCGTCGCATCTGCGGCCGTAGCGCATGCACGAGATAAAACTCCGACGGAGGATTAGAGCGCGATACGCGAACCAAAGCGCACACAGAAGGCAATACCAGCACGAGATCCTGGTCTTCGTACTACCTGTGTCCTTCACTAAGAACGCTCCGTTGGTATCGTACTTCCACTGAAATGTACGCGACTTTGTCCTTGGTACAATACGTCCCCAGTTCGCCTTCGTAGAACGAGTAGAACCCGATACTTCCGTGGTAAAAGTACACCTCAAAGGGAAAGCTGTCATTGCGGCAACCGGACGGAGTCGATCGATAGGGAGGAACCTTGGCGTTGCCGATGAAGTAATTCCCGTGGCACCACCGAGTGACAAATGATGCCATTCTCGGTCGTGTAGTAGTGGGTTGGCTCGAAGTTCCACCAGAGTCCTACTAGTTGCAGAGCTTCGACGGGGCAGACTGAGGAGAGATTCGCCGTCTGCTTGGGCAAGTCTGGCTGCACCACTAGAATCTCGGGAATCGTGTGTGGTTTGGCGAACTTTGCGTAACTTCTCACTTGCAGAGCGAGAGGGAGCAGCCCCAAAGAGAACCACAACGCCAAGAGTTTTTGCCGAGCTGTCATCCTGGAGGAGCGGCCATTCCGAACTTGTCTCAAGCGACGGGAGCTGTCTTGCAGGAAGCTCCGAATGGAAGGCAGCACCTGCGCGGGGCGAGTCGCTGTCAAGACGCCCGGACCCAACGTGGCCAATGTGTCCGGCATCGTCCATCCGTTCGCCAAAAACCGCCCGAGCTAAATGCAACTGAGATCTCTCTCAAAGTCCCCCAAACGGAAGTGACGAAGAGATCATCTCAAGCGAGAGAAATTAGTCGCAACAACAAGAATACATCCTTTCTTCTATAAGTTAATCTTGTGAATCGTATTCCAGAGATTCCGTTCACTCTGATGAGATACTAACGAATCTGCCTATCCTGGCAGCATTCATTTGCCTAGATATTACTACCAGTCAGTACTCCTAACTACGCGAAGGAAGCACGGCGTTGTTTGGACCTGACCACAGAATAGTTCGATTTGGTCTTACATTATGGTGAATTTCTGCTTGGTTCAATGCGCCGCCCAGTTTCCGATTAAGGAGAGTGATGATCCCGGTACAGGCTCGTTCGGCGCAGGGCTCGACTCGGTGCCCCGAGATGACGCCGATCACCACCAAATTGTCTCTAGGGACGGTGAACCAGTGCAATCTCTGCAGCACCAGATACTCGACGCCGTCCTCCTCCATCTTCAGCATGCCGAACGCCTTCAGAGCCGTGACCTTGTAGTACAACCGGCCGTGCTCCCACCTGTAGCCTCCCAGCATCATAAGTCTGCTACGAGGTCCCAAAGCGGAGTCAATGCAGCAAGACTCAGACAATACACGTAATGTCCGGTGTTTAATCCACACGTAAATCATCGCCCACGGAACGCGCACAGATGCGATAATTCCAATGATAACTATCACCACCACGCCGTGACTTATCAAGCTCCAGAAGTAATACGACACAGCGAGAGCTACGGGTCTTGACCGCCTGAACTCCGACCCATTTAGTCCAGTCAGGAACGCCTGCAGCGCCAAGGCACTCACCAATTCGCCCACGAACGCCGTCTCGTAGCTGAGGAAGACGCGCTTGACTCGCTGCCGCCACTTCTCGCCCAGCCACTTCATACTTTCCACCATCTCGAACAGCAGCAGCATCAACCCGGACAAGCTGTAGCCCAGAGACAAGTACTGGATCTTCGTGGTCCAGCCGTCGTTAGCGATGATCAGGAACAAGTCGGACATGATTTCTTCTACGATCAAGTAGAGCAGCGCCATCCGTTGGTAGTTCGTCGCTCCGTGGGCAGACAACCGCAAGCTTTCCCGCACAAACACCATGGCCTCCTTGTTGCCGAGTCCTACGCCCATGTCGTTGCACTTGAGGCCATAGCGTCTGCATGCTACAAAGCTCCGGTGGATCGTCAGCGCTCGGTAGATTAGCCACGCCACGCCAGCGACGCCATACCAATACGAAAATCTCACGTCCAAACTTCCGGTATCTTCAGCCAAGAACATCCCATTGGTATCGTACGTCCCGAGGATATCTGCGGTCACGTAGGCTGTGCTGTCCATGGCGCAGTACGACCCCACCACCTCTTCGTAGAGCGAGTAGAATCCGATGCTGCCGTGAAACATGTACATATCGTAGACGAAGCTGTCGTTCACGCAGTTGGCTGGTGATCGGTAGTACGGGGTGGTAGTGGCGTTCCCGATCCAGTAACTGCCGTGGAGATTGTACTGCGGCACGACGCCGTGGCAAACGATGCCGTGGTCGGTCTTGTAGTAGTGCGTGGGGTAGAGATTCCACCAGACTCCCGCCAGCTTGCACGGGGCAGACACTGGTGGTGTTGGCTGTTTCTCGTTGGAGGTCTGACGGGATGACGAGGAGCTGAGGCATCTTGTGCGGCTTGAGGAACTTGGCATAGCTTCGAGTTTGTAGTGCCAGAGGCAACAGACCCACAAAGAGCCACACTAGCAACAACAACCGATGAGCTGTGAACACGCGGTCGTTTATTGCCTGGATTCGCTGGAGTGACGACTCTCTTCGAGAGAGCTTCCTCTGTGGAGCCGGAGCCGGTGCCACCGTGTTGCCCGCAAGGGTTATCACCTCAACTTTCATCATCCAGGTAGGCAAACGATGCTGCTATTGCCGACGAAGCCGTGACCAAGCAGAAGGCCCAACCATTTTGGAAACGGCCGCGTCAATTATAGGAGAACTATGCTGTTTTCCGCATCTGCAGATATATTCGGTCTTCGAAGTGGGGGATTCGGCTTGAGAGAATTGTGTAAACGTCGTAGTAGAAGTAGACCAGAGTATACTTTAGTAGTTTGGAATCAAGCCATAACACACTGAAGATTTGGATACGGTACGGTCAAAGGTTTGAAAGTCTGGATAACAGAACTCGAGATAAACGAAACATTTATTTTCGCATTTATTATACTTAAGTAAGTAAGTAAGCTTATCTTGCTTTTGTTTTTTTAATTTTGCCTAGCACCGCCTTACATTACGAATAAATACTGAACCGCTCAAGCAATGTTTGGACCCGCCCACGCCAGCACTCTACTTGTTGCACGTACGGATGGACCCCGGCGGTTCAACTCTGGTTCTTTTGAAGCTCCTCCGAGCTTCCGATCAACAAAACTGGCGATATCCATACAAGGTCGTTCGTTGCAAGGCTCCACGTGGTCGCCCGAGATAACCCCGATAGCAACCAAGTCCTCTGGGACGACCACCCAATGCAGCTTATGCACTACCAGGTATTCAACGCCTTCGTCCTCTATTCTCAACATCCCGAAGGCCTTCAGAGCTGTAGCGGTATAGTACCATTCTCCATCTTGATACTGATACCCTCCAAGCATCGTGCTTCTGTTTCGCACTCCCAGAGCTGCATCAATACAGCACGACTCGGATAGCAACGCAAACGATCGGTGCTTAAGCCACACAAACGCTAGAGCCCAAAGCACTCGCACTGAAGAGATTATCAGCAGTACGACGAGCACGACCAGACCATGGCAAATGAGACTCCAGAAGTAGTAAGAGACCGCGAGCGCTGTCGGTTTGGAGCGTTTAAGATCCGACCCATTCAATCCCGAGAGAACCGATTGGAAGACAAAGGCGCAGACCAACTCGCCCACCAGAGCCGTCTCGTAGCTGAAGAACACCCTCTTAATCCGCAGTCTCCACTGTTCCTTCAGCATGTTCATACTTTCAGTCATCTCAAATAGTAGCAGCATCAATCCAGAGAGGTTAAAGCCTAGCGAAGCGTACTGAACTCGGGCTCTTCAGCCGTCGTGGGCGATGATCAGGAACAAGTCGGCCATAATTCCCTCTACAATCAGAGCGAGTATCGCAACTCTCTGGTAATTCGAGGCGCCGTGGGCAGAAAGTCGCATGCTTTCCTGCACGAACACCATGGCGTTGTGTTGGCCAATGAGTTCGCCCATCTCGTCGCACTTGCGGCCATAACGCAGCAACGCAACGAAGCTCCGGTGGATCGTCACTGCGCGGTATACGAGCCAGACGCCACCGAGGAGAATGTACCAGTACGACATCCTGGTGCTCGTACTGCCAGTGTCTTTCGCCAAGAACTCCCCATTAATGTCGTACGATCCAAGAACTTCCACGACGATATATGCCGTCTTTGACGTCGTACAGTACGTCCCCACCTCGCCCTCGTAGAACGAATAGTACCCAACACTTCCGTGATACAAATACTGCTCGAATGGGTAGCTGTCGTTGTCGCAACTGGATGGTGTCGTGCGGTACGGCGTCGTCTTGGAGCTCCCGATGAAGTAGTTGCCGTGCAGATTGTACTGCGGGACGACAGCGTGGCAGACGACGCCCTGCTCCGCTTTGTAGTAGTGGGTCGCCTCGACGTTCCACCAAACTCCAGCAAGCACGAAGGCCGTCACGGGACAGACCTCGGTCAAGTTGGCTGTCTCTTTCTGTAGATCAGGAGGCACCACCAGGAGCTCAGGCATTTTGTGCGGCGTGGCGAACTGGAGGTAGCTTCGGGTCTGCAGGCAGAACGGCAGCACGCCCATGAAGAACCAGACGGTGAGCAGTCTGCGTTGTGTCGTGAACCAGCGACTAGCGCTGGTTTGAGCTGATATTGAGAGGCGCCGGAGGCTGTCCAGCTTCGTCAGCACCATCTCTGAGGACCTCCTCCGTGAAGACATCGCCCGTCCGCTGGTAACTCGTTGTCACGAACTCACGAACTAATTTGTGTTGTGCTTTTAGCGGCTACGTCCAAACAAAAAGCCACTCTCGAAACGATCTGAAAGGTCCCTTACCTGTCTCGACTTCTCAATGGAACGAACGTCTTTGGTGATGTGGTGCTATCGTTACCTCCAAAACGAATCACGCACGCATGACGTACCGACCAGACGAAAGGATATGTTTGTGAGTAAGTTACTTGACTACCTTCCCAGCTTGCTTGATCTGCTTAGTGAGTAGAGCGTGCCGCTGAATGAGCTCCGCGCGACAGCGCTCGAGGTCCACGAGGTCGTTCTCGCGCTTCTCGAAGTCTTCAATGAGCAGTTCCGACTGGGCGAAACCCTCCTTGCTCTTCAGCCTAGTTGCAAGCTGCCGTGTAGCATCCCTGTCCTTCTTCTTGTGGGCGAGCTGGTCTCGGTTGGCCGTGAGCGCCTCCTCCAGCTCCTGCGAGTCGCGCTTGAGCATCTGGTTCTCGGCCAACACGAACTGAAGCTTCTCCTTGATGTGGGTCAGCACCTGGACCGTGCTCGTCGTCTTCTTGCGCAGCTTGTGGAGCTCCTCGTTGCGTTCCTCGATCTTCTCGTTCAGCGTCTGGTTCTCGATCTTGAGCTGCTCGAAGTCGATGAGGTGCAGGCCCTCAGCGAGCTGCTCCTTGGCGTGCAGCTGCTGCTCGAGCTTCTTGAGGTGCGTGCGCAGGTTGATGTGCTTGAGTCGCACCTTCTCGACCTCCTGATCCTTGCGCAGCTCGGCGGCCTCGAACTGCGCGATGACGCGCTTGGCGATCGGCTTGCCCGTCCTCAAGTTCTCGGCGTTGCGCGCCACTTCGCGCTTGAACTCGAGGAACGCGTCCTGGATCTCCGTCACCTTGGCCTCCTTCTCGTCCAGCCGCGACTGCAGCTCCAGCGCCACCTTGTCGTACTGGGACTGCGCCGACACCATCTGCACCTTGGCTTCGTGCACGCCGCGCAGACACTCGAGGTACCTCTTGGCGTTCTCGCTGGCGCTGGCCTTGTCCTCGCGTCGGCCCGCAGCAGCGGACCCTGCACTAGCGGCATCTCCTGGAGCTGTAGCCGTCCCGGAGCTGCTGGTAGTTGCGCTGTTCTCCTGGTTCTTCTGCAGCAGAGCCGCGATGCGTCGCTGCAGTCTGCAAGATACGTGAGCACAATGTGAGCCCCATGAACGTCAACGCAGAAGGATGGCAGCTGTAAATGCACCGTACTTGGTGTTCCTCTGCTGCAGCTCGTCCCTGGCCTCGGTGGCCTCAGCGATGGCCGTGCGCAGGCGTCGGGCCTCCTGTCTGGCCGCCTCCTCCTCGTCCAGCTCGGCGTCCACGTCGTCGTCTTCCTGCTCGCCTTCGTTCTGCTCCAGCAGCTTGGACCCGCGCCGCTCAGCCGTCGAGTCCATCTCCTCGCCTTCTTCCTCGTCCTCCTCTTCGGGCGTCGTCTCCTGGTTCGAGCTGGGCACCGTCATGCTCTTCGCGCGCCGATGGTCTCATGTTGCAGGCCGCTCGCAAGTCGCGTCGTTTCGCGACACATGGCTACACTTCATGTAAACTTAATCGCATATCTCCCACAAGTATCTTTAAGCTGTACAAACTCTATGCAATTATCAGCTCTCACACCTCGACTAAGTGTCGCCGCCAGCACATTAGTCCGCAACATGAGCACCTTGTGCCGACGCTCGACGCTGCTGGGCTGCTGCGCGCCCCTGCGCGCCGTCAAGAGCCTCAAGGGCAAGTCCAACGCCAGCGCGCGCTGGGTGCGGCGCCAGTGGAGCGATCCCGTGGTGAAGCAGGCCAAGCGCGAGGGCCTCCGCTCGCGCGCCGCCTTCAAGCTGCGCGAGCTCAACGACGTGCGTCACCCTGCCCCTTCAACGGCGTAGATTGATCCCATACTAATTTATTCTGTTGCTGCAGCGGTTCCAGCTCCTGCGGCGAGGCGACATGGTGCTGGACCTGGGCGCGGCCCCCGGCGGCTGGACGCAGATAGCGGTGGAGGCCACGGCCCCCAAGAGCAAGGGCCTGAAGACCTACGGCCAGGAGCCCGCGCCGCGCGTGGTGGCCGTAGATCTCAAGCACTTCGACCCCGTGGAGGGTGCGGCCATCGTGGTGGGCGACTTCCGCCAGGCGGCGGTGCGCCGGCAGCTGGACGAGGCTCTGCGCGGACGCAAGGCCGACGTGGTGCTGAGCGACATGGCCCCGTCCTTCTCGGGCAACTTCCTCACGGACAGCCAGCACCAGCTGAGGCTGTGCCACAACGCGCTCAAGATGGCCGAGCTCTACCTGCGGCCCGGAGGCAACTTCGCCACCAAGATCCTGCGTTGCGACGGGTCCGAGGAGTTCCGGGCCGACCTGAAAGAGGCGTTTGATGTTGTCAAGGCCATGAAGCCGCAGTCCTCGAGGCCAGAGTCCACCGAGATGTTCCTGGTGGCCAAGGGCTTCAAGGGCGCGAAACCTGCTGCGAGTGAAGACGCCAAGGAATGAGGAACGGTAGAGCACAGAGCAATGGAAAACGATGACAAGTCCATCCAGCAGCTACCCTTTCACATCTCGTCTATTGCAATTCAGAAAGCCGTACGGAACGGAAGCAAGACCCTAGACGGAGTGAGGGGAGCGCTGCAAAGAGCGCTCGAGTCGTGTGCGCAGCGGCCGGGGACTGGCCTCTTCGATCGAGGCCATCCCATTTTTGAAACATGCAAGTTAGTCAAAAGCAGAAAAGAGAAGCGAGCCTCCGCTGCAGACACCACACGACGAATACCGGACAACCGACGGGCTGGACGGTCGGTTAGTTGAGGTCCTGGCCCAGCCGCAGCGCCAGCAGCGTGTCGTTGTACTGATTGAAGGCGTCCTGGATGTCGTCCTGCAGCTGCATGGCCAGCGGGATCAGCTCGATGTTCACATTGCCACCGATCTGCGCCGACGCGGCCACACGCGGCTGCAGCACCTTGACGGCGTGGATCATCTCCTGCAGCTCCGTGTCCTGGCGGACGTCACCGGCGGCGTAGATGATCTTCTGCAGTAGCTGGTGCACCAGCTGCTCCACCTCCTGCAGGTCGGCGTCGTTCAGCGGCTCGGCATCGGCAGCGTTGGCCAACGCCTCGCGCTCCTCCTCCTCCCAGCGCTTGCGCGCCTCGGCGTACGCCTCACGCTCGCAGATGTCCTGCGTTCGGAGCGTCAAGTTGAGGAAGCGGTCCATGTGGATGTTCAGCAGGGCGTCCGGCATCTGAGTCAGCACCTGCGTCATGTAGCGGTTCATCTCCTTCTCGCGCTTGATGATGAACTTCTCCTCCTGGTTCTTGCCGATCATCGACGAGAACGGGTGGCGCTTGGGGAAGCGCGGGAACCACGGAGCACGCTTGCCACGGCGGCCCGAGGCGGCGGCCTTCAGCTCCTGGTGCAGCGCGTTGAAGTCGTTGTAGCGTCCACCCACGAGCCAGGCCGTCTTCGACTGCTCAAGGATGTCACGGCCCCACGTCACACGCAGCACATACTCCGTGTACTCGTCGCCCCAGTTCTGGTCCTGCTGCTTGCGGTGTCCCAGCATCGTGCACGTAAGGATGCCGCCCTTGTACGGGATCGGAGGACCCGTCGGGAACTCCTGAATCTTCTCAACCGGGTTGATCAGGTTCTCGTCGTCAGCCGACATCACCGGGCCAGCGGGGGCCTCGCCGCCCTCGCCGAACAAGTCCCGGCCAGCCTGCGCAAGCTGCTCCTGGCGCAGCGCATCACCGGCAACGGCCTCGCCCTCGATCTTGGCGTTGTCGCCCGCCACCCAGCTCATGTCGGCGTTCTGCAGCGATTCCTGTCCGACCATAGCACCGGCAACTCCCATGGAGCCAACAGCACCAATCTGGCCGGCCTGGCCAGCAGAAGCCTGCATTGGCTGCACGGAGCCCAGCGTTGCAGGTCCGTTGCCAGCAACACCGGGGACACCAAGGGCACCGAGGGCAGGAGCCGTGCCCAGCGTGCCAGCCATAGCAGCCTTCCTCTGGGCCTCGTCGTATGCGCTCAGCTTACGCAGAGCAGCGGCCTCAGCATCGTGGGCCATGGACGCGTCCTGGGCGGCCTGTGCGGCATCCTGGGCGGCCATAGCAGCAGCGAGAGACGCGGCCTGAGCACGCTCCACGGCAGCCTGGCGTCTGGCCTCTTCACGGCCGACAGAGCGACGGTAGGCACGCTGAATAGCGGTGGCCGCAGCGGCCCGCTTCAGCTCCAACTGGCGCTGGCGCTCACGCTCTTCCTCTTCCTCCTGAAGGCGACGCTGGCGCTCCTCCTCCTCACGCTGGAGCCGCAGCTGCTCCTGTTCGGCAGCAAGTCGCCGGGCCTCCTCCACTGCCAGGCGAGCCTTACGGATGTGGTGCAGGCGCTGCACAAAGTGACGCTGGGCCTGAATGACGTAGAACGCAGTCAGCCAGCGCTTCTTGGCCGACTTCTTCTTCTCCGCCTCGAGACGAGCGGCTTCCTCCGCCAGCCTCTTACGCATCTTCTCATCTTCGACCTGGGCACGACGCTTGTTGGCCTGCTTGCGGCCAAACTTGCCGCGCACAAGCGACTGGATCTGGATCGCAGCTGCGTTCTTCTCCGCAAGTTGCGCGGCCATGCGCTGGCGAGTCTGCTCCAAGAGCTTCTTGAAGGCGTTGGCGGCGAGGACGCCACCAATGGCCTGCTTCCAGTGCTTCTGGGCTAGCGCCTGACGGCGCATCTTGAGGCGGTGCGCATTGCGGGCACGGATGAACTGCTTGCGGACAGCAAACATGCGCATCACGGCCTGCATTTTAACAACGGCGGCCTTGCGACGTCTAGTGTCTTCCAGCAGCCACAGGAACGCACGCTGGGCGAGCACCTTGGCCAGAGCATAACGCCAACGGCGACGCGCGAGCCACTTGCGAAGACGAGCAACGATCCACGGTCCCATCTTCTTCATGTCTACCTTCAGCAGCGCGTCCAGCAGGGCAATCTTGCCCGTCTTGAAGAATACCTTGGTGCGACCCAGGCGGTAGGCGTCAGGCTCGACGCGGAACGACCACAGCACGGCCTCCGTGAAGGTGCGGTCGTTGTAGGCGTCGAACATGGGAGTGACCGACGGCGGCAGCACGGGCTTATAGATACGGCAGATTTCTTCGTACGACACACGCGTAGGCAGACCCACCTTAAGCAGCTCGCACGTGGCAAGCATACCAGAGCAACGCAGCTGGTCCACAACGTAGCCATGGTCGAAAACGCCAGGCGACATCGTCGGGTTCGGCTTAATACACCGGATGAAGTTGCAACGTGTCGCGTTCAGCGTGTCCGTCAGCTCCTGCATCTGGTCGCAGAACTTGGCCGAAACAGTCTGCTTGTGCAGCTGGCTCATGTTGGAGGAACCGTTCATGGTGTCCAGGTCCAGCTTCGACGAGAACAGCTCCTTAATAAGTGATGACTTGCTGGACGTCACAAAGTCCTCGAGGTCCTTGGGGATCGTGTCGTTGTTCTTGTCGATGAAGTTGCCGATCGTGTACGGCACGCGCGTGGCAAAGTGCTTGACGATGAACTCGTACTTCTTGTCCTTCTCGTGCGGGGCCAGGAAGTGCGGGTGATTCGCGTGCGTCTTGTGCAGCGTGGCGTTCCACTTCTCGTCGGACGGCTTGGGCATCTTGGCCTCCTGGTCCAGCAGCGGCAGAATACCGTTCGGCTTCTGCGAGATCAGGTCGATACACTCGCGGTTGTCGGGCCAGATAATCTTGCCGACCTCAATACCTTCCGCGGCGAACAGCTCCTGCTCGGCGATGAACACCTGCTGGTTGAACGTGGCCTGCAGGGCCTCGTTGGCGTAGTTGATCAGCAGCTGCTCGAAGTCGTTCTCCTCGAAGGACTCGAAACCGAAGATATCGAGCACACCGATGAACGGCAGCGAGCTGTCGCCGTGGCCCAGCGAGCTGTTGATCTTAAACAGGATCCACTTGAACAGGTGGTTGTAGATCGACTTGGCGATGGCGTCACGCACGTAGCTTCCCTCCTTGGCCGAACGCTTGATCGTGAAGTTCTCCGTGCGCGTGGAGATCTCGCGCGTGGTGATCACTTGCAGCAGGTTGTTGCTGTCCACGCCGAGCAGCTCAGCGCAGGACGCCACGTACTTCTGCGCCTCGGGCGTGACCTCACCGGCATCGCCCTCGGCCGTCTCGCGGTCTTTCAGGCGGATGTTACCCAAGTGCAGCAGACCCGACAGAATGGTCCAGACCTGCTTCTGCAGTCCCGCGTCGATGTTCACGGAGGTCAGCGCGCTGGCCACCTCGTCGAACAGGATCTCGTCGTCCACGTTCGGGTCCGACACGCAGCCGCTCTGGTTCAGGTAGTCGAAGTTGTTGACGGGCTCGAGCTTGAGCTCCTTGGTCAGCGCCTGGTCCGCGCCCGAAAGCAGGAAGTAGAAGATGTGGAAGTTGCGCTCTCCCGGGATTTGCGCCACGACGCGGAACTTCTCGAGCAGGTACGTCTCGATGAAGGCGCCAGTGAGCGTGTTGTCGCCGGGCTTGAACTGCAGCTTCATGAACTTGCCGAAGCGGGACGAGTTGTGGTTGCGCAGCGTCTTGGCGTTACCGAAGGCCTCCAGGATGGGGTTCGTGTCCCAGAGACGCTTGTCCAGCTCGAGCGCCAGGTCCTGCTGCGTGGCGTCGCCCTTGTTGGCCGAGATGGCCAGGTGCTCGCGCGACGTGAGGTAGCGCAGCACGATCTTGGACGTCTCGGTCTTGCCGGCGCCCGACTCGCCGGAGATGACGATCGACTGGCACTGCGCGGGCGTGCGCAGCGCCATCTGCTGGAAGGCCACCTCGGCGATGGCGTACGGGTGCGGGGGGCGGTCCCCCATCTGGGTCTTGATGTAGTCCGTGACCTTGGGCTCCACCGTGCGCACGAGCGGGTTGACGGCGATCAGCACGTTGGCCATGAGCGTGTAGGGCCGCAGGTTGTCCATCTTGGAGCGCACGTAGAGGTTCTCGAGGATGCCGGCCTCGTGGATGTAGTAGAGCGACGTCATGTCGTCCACCACGCGCGGGTTGACCTTGTACAGGTCGCCGACGTCGCGCAGGTCCACGTGCTCCTGCCCGAACTTGCCGTTGACCGTGAGCACCATGCCCTGCTCGGGGTCCTCGGCGGGCTCGTAGCGCACGATCTCCACCACGCGCCACACGCGCTCCGGGTCCGGGATCCAGATGTGCGCGCCCACCTCCACGGGCGTGTGGCGCAGCGCCGCCACCACCTCCTGCGTGTTGCGGCGCCGCGCCGAGTTCTGCGCGCGCTTCTTGTTCTCCAGCACGAGCCGCTGCGCGATGCTCAGGTTGCTCTCGTCCACGGGCGCCGCGCTGTGCCGCTGGAACCGCTCGTACGACGGCAGCGCGCTGGACGGCGCCATCTCCACGCGCGGCTTCGACATGCTGCTGCTCCGCCTGCTCTGCGAGTGCTCTGACGGGCCTTTAGTGTCTGCTTCGGGGCCGGTCCGTTGCGTTCTGGGCTTGTGGCTGACTGAGTGCGGTCGGATCGCGCTTCTGTCTCTCTGCGCTGCCCCCTTCTCTGTCAGCGAGGCTCCAGCTCCAGCTCTGCGCTCTGCTGTGCTCTCGCTTCTTCCGCCGCGGAGCTTCGGTCACGAGGGGACGAAGCGCAAGGGAGGGGAGGCCTTGAATGATTGTGTCAACCCCAGGGGCTGACGTGGAATAAGAAACGCGTCGCATTTGTAGCCGCGAAAGAAGTGGATATTACGTAAGTAGACGGAGCTGGGATTGGATGAAATACAGGTGGACGCATGCGATTGGTGAAGAGGGAGGAGGAGGTTGCGGAATTGCAGACGTGGACAAGGTTGAAGTGCGCCACACTGGACGCGTATGCGACGTGTGACGCTGTCCACTATCGGACTCGCCACCTCGGGCGCTATGCTGGTCTGCTGCTGGCTCGGATACATCTACACCTGCGCACGTGTGACTTGAAGGCACCCTGGGTGGATTATGTGCATTGTTGTTGCTGCTGCAGGCGCAGTTCGGCGTTTACGGTGGCGGTGGGGGCAAATCGAGCTCTCGATGCAACTTCAAGGACCAGGCAGGGCTGCAGCCGCAGTAGAGGAGGCCGCCAGTTGGCCTTTGGCCCGGGAACGAGTGCGTTGAGATGGAGGCGGTGGAGTGAGTGAGGAGAGGAGAAGAAGGAGACGCTGGAGGTTGCTGCACACTGCAGTTGACGATTACTCACGGGACGGATGGGTCTGGACCTGCTCCTGAAGGTGGCCAGATGCCTTGCTGCATGGAAGCCTTGCGTCGCATTACGGAGTTGGAGACTGGTCATTAGATCCACTTCGCTTCGCCTCCAGTCTTCGTCGGTACTCGGCTGTGGTAGACTTTTTGTTCGTCAGCGTGCGGCGTCAGAGTCTCTGGGTTGATGCCGCTGCTGCTTGGGGTGGCTGAGACCAAGCTTTCGCTGCAATCGTGTTAGACGTCGGGGCGGAATGCGCAAGGCTTTAAATGCGCAACTTCTGGGGCTAGGTTGGCACGGTGGTGTCGTATTGGTGATCGTAACCGTTTTCTCGTGTGTTCGGGTGGCTCAGGCCATGACGTCTGAAGGGCTCGCTTGCGGTGCTATCTGAGCCATGCCGCGTTGATTCAGGCTAGTCCTAAGCGTATCATGTTGATGGACACTGTGGGCTCTTCCCTTTTCCTGGCAGGAGCCTGGAGATATATCGGCGCCAAGTTCGGGATGTTGGAGTCAAATGAATCGGCTCGAGCTGGTGGGTGCGCTCGACTGCGTCGCTGAGCAACGTGAGCATGGCAATCAATCGCTCAAGTCTCTTCATTTTCGTCCTTGGAGGACTCAACTGCAACGCGGGTCAAGTCCATGAATGGACTTGGGGTCAGTCTTCGTGTAGTTCATTGCCTCGGGCGGCTGTCTGGGCCTTGGGTCATCGCCTTGGCTGCTGGGAGTCGGCTGCGTTCTTCGGCCAGCTGCGCTCGTATCGCTTCAAGCTCCTTCTCCAGCTCCCCAACTGTGTCCTCCAGCTCCCCAACTCTGTCCTCCAGCTGCCCGGATCTCTCCTCCAGTTGCACTTCCATCTCTCGCTGCTCCAGCTCCAGGCGTCGAAACCATTCAGCGGTCGGCTCTGGCGCTGGTTCGCGTCCGTCAGGCTCTGCTTCCGAGTCTTTTTCTCAGCGCTCGTAGCGGGAGTTTGCTGCTGACTTGTTGTCATGGTGGAGGGCGCTTGGGTTGTCGGCGGAAGATTGGCGAATGCCGAACGGCAACGTGTTGAAGTGGAGCCGGTTTTTCGCTAGTTGAAGAAGGCTGGTAAGAAAAAAATGCCGTAGTGAGTGTCGTGTAGGAACACGCACTAAATTATATAATAGCACACTTTCCCCACCAACAACACCCACCAAGTCCCGATGACTCAATGGGCTTGTTAGGGTTAGAACCTGAAGGCCCAGGAACTTTCCCTTGCACCGGGTTGATGTTTCCTCTGCGCACCGTGTTTCCGCTTAGTCGAGCAAAGGCTGGCACGCTCTCACACGCAATATAAACCTCGCAGGCCCTCAGGAAGGAAGGGTCCCAGCCAGTCACGGCTTGATACGAGGGTACCGGAGCTATACTCCGGCGGGAAGGATCTTTCCTATGGTTCAATACAAATATCTAGTATAAACGCGTCCGTTTTGAATCTTCCCAAGTAACCACCGACCCTTCAGGGCCTCCTCGACGCCCCAAGAGGCCTCTTGTAACGGGGTACAGTCAAGTGTACCCATTACATGAAGAGTGACGGGTGTCACACTCCCGAGTACATGGTTCATGGTACCAGTAGCTCCGCAAGCCAACCATTTGAGTTCGTGTGGGCTTTTGTATAGTTAACTTGTAGTTTGTATTACGACCAAGTTAACCTCTACCAAAATACAGTCAGTCTTATAACCTACTCCTTTGTAGCAAACCGTTCCCTTTGAGGCCGGGAACTGGTGAACTGCTGTTCACCTGGATAGTAATATCCGCACGCACTTCCTCTGTGCATTGTGCTGTGTGACCCCGTCACACTTGGTAGCACTTGTAGTCAATCCTACGCCTACGCGGGTAGATTGGTCTACCTGAATCCTCGGTGGCTCAGGTCTGGGAGCCACGATGGACCAAAGTGAGTTTCCTCACCTGACTGACTCGCAGTTCGAGTCGGTGCGGAAGATGGCAGGCATCTTCGGAAGAGCTGCCCTCCGGAGCTTGGCGGCGGCGACGCCAGCCGAGCAGGTCGAGCCGGTGACCGCGTTTGACGAGTACGAACGCGGGCTCATCGCTCATGTGCAGGGAAACCTGCTGGCTCAGATGAGTGAGCCCAAACGGGTGCAGCCTAAGCCTCTGCGGCCAGCTGTGCCTCCGTTCGAAGGGAGGAAGGTGAGAACCTTCACTTCTGGATCCGGGAGACCGAGATCGCAATGAGCGCAGGTCTCATCTCGGCCGAGAACCTTCGAGTCGCCTTCGCACTCTCCAATCTTGGCGGACGTGCCAGGACTTGGGCGTATACGCGCGAAGCGATGTCGCCTGGATGTTTCACATCCTGGGCTCAGCTGTGTGAGCAGCTTCGAGCCGCTTTTCTCCCGGCGAACAACGAGTTCCGCCAGCGCTCGCGCTTCCTTGCCTGCAAACAAGGAGAGCGCGAGCTGTACGCGTACGTACAGGAGATGCGCACGTTGGCAACCTCGCTGGTGGGGAACCCACTGTCGGAAGACGTCAAGATGACAGTCTTCGTGGACGGCCTGAAGGTCGGTCCTGCACGCACGCAGTTGTTCCGCGTGCGCACCGCCACTATGGAGGAGGCGATCCAAGTCGCCCTCCAGGAAGAGTACAGCCACAAGTAGGCTGGTGCTCTGGCTGTTGTACAGCCTGTGGTCGCTGACAGCGAACCAGAACCCATGGATCTGAGTTCGGCTGAGCAGTACTCAGCCCGCTGCTACGGCTGCGGCGGACTAGGACACTATCAACGTGTCTGCCCATCGTCTGGGTCTGGGAAGAAGACCTACCCGAAGACCAGAGGGTCAAGGGGGCGCCGACGCCATTCACCGTCAGGTGCTCAAGGGGGACACAACCACCAGTAAGGACGAGGGCCTTGCTGGGGTTGGCCCGAGTCTTTGTGATGGGTGTACGGAAGGCGTACACCACAGAGACCCGGGGTCCCTTGCGAGCACTGACGCTCGCATTGGTGAAGGACAACGGTGGGTTGTCGGTAGTACACGTGTGTGTGCGGGGGTAATGGTATCCCTAGACATGATTGAGTCTGGGACGTCGCGTGGATGTTCGCACGTCGCCAGATGTGTCGGTTGGAATAACGACACAAGTTCCGAGTCTCTGCGAGAGAGTCTAAGAACAAGGTCAGGTCTCATTGACTGAGGCTGGGCCGAAGAAGAACCTTGGGGTCCGCTGTGACCCTGGCTGCCGCGCTCGAGGGCGCTGACAGCAATGGAACCGCACATGGTCCCGGACATGGAACCGTACATCGTCCCGGACATCGTGCCGAAGTCGGCCCTGGGCATGGAACCGTGTATGCCCTCGGCTTGAGCAAGTATGACTTGGCCCTCAGTGCGCCGTGCAAGCTGCACAGGCTCTCGGTCGAGTAGCGCGACAACGCCTTGAGGCTAAGTCGGCCCTCTGTGTCTGACAGAGCATTGGTGAGTCATGTTCCCACCTCTGGACAGACACAAGGGCGTCCGATGGGACCGCCAGGGCGCTGGATGCGTCCGAAAGACGAAGAAGAAGAAGGGAGGCATCATTGACATGCTGATCTCCATGAAGAAGGTGCAGTGTATCTGCAACCGAGGGCTGTTATACCTGGCATGTGGAGCTGCTTCAACAAGCAACTCCAGTGCTGAGAGTCATTGCTCGGCATGAGCATTGACAAGGGTGGTGTTCGATGACACCACCAGGTGGGTAACCAAGGACCACTGACTAGCGGGTAACTTAGTTCCGCACAGAGCATGTAATGCTGAGGAGGCCGCTCAAGGCACCTCCGGCGTGGGTAACCAAGTACCACGGACGGTCGCCCAGACCTTAACTGAAGAGGAACGCGCTGCACGCGCTTCCTGTGTGGGTAACCAAGTACCACACCCGGTCGCCCAGACCATAACTGAAGAGGAAGGCGCTGCAGGCACTTCCTGTGTGGGTAACCCAGTTCCACACCAGGTCACTCAGACCTAAACTGATGAGGAAGGTGCACGATGCACTTCCTGTGTGGGTAACATAGTTCCACACGCGTCACTCAGACGGTAACGGATTGTGAAGCCGCATGATGCGCTTCCTGTGTGGGTAACGTAGTTCCACACGATGCCGTAAGGCTCCGCATGAGCCGGAAGGAGTCGCTCGAAGCGACTTCAGCGTGGGTAACTTAGTTCCACGCACGGTCAGTATGACCAAGACTAGTGATCAGGTCACTTGGGTCTCCTCGCGTGTGGTGGATGACCACACGGAGTTTAAGAGGCTCGTGACACCGTCACGATGTCATAGCCGCACGGTCCTCTTGAAGGCGCCGCGCGGCTTTGATTTTTAAGCGGGGGAGGAGTGCGCGGAAGCACTTCCTTCCTCCAAGGACTTGGCACCCGGTCATCATGGATGACGTTCGACTGGGTGTCGACCAGCGCAGCTGTGGCCATGCGCACAGAAGACGTGGCTTGGGTACACGACGTACCTGCGGCGATGCATGTTGCGTCGCCGCCGACTCGGCGAGCATGGTCGATCACGACTGGAACGTGTCTGCCGGAGGGCGACACCTCAATGACCACATGCAGGAGCATGCTCGGTCTGAAGGCAAAGGCCGCTGCACGGCAGGGATCGTTGGTACGGTCTGTCGCGCCTAGCACTGTGCGGCGTTGGGACAACAAGTGTCCATGACTCGGTGCCGAGATGGCTGAGTCTGAGTATGCGTGCATGCCATGCAGCTACTCTGAATGCAGGACAAGCCGTACGCTGTCATGGGTGTCATTGCCCGAAGACGTGGGTAACAGAGTAACACGTCAAGTCACGCAGACTCAAACTGCATCCAGGCTGGTTGATGCCAAGCCCTGGTCGACGATGTTGACCCAGAGCCAAAGAAGGGTAGCTGCCCGTGCCACCGGAGTCTGCTGGCACGGTGACTCGGTGCTGCAGGGCGGCGCGAGGTTAGGCGGCCGGCTGGCGCCTGACCCGCCGGGGCTCAACTCGTAAGTGGGTGAGGGGATCTGAAGTGCCCTTCCTCCCGAGGTCTCTGGCATGAGACTTGCTTCGTCGTAGAAGCCAGTGTAGTGGCTGCATGGTGTAGCCACTCACGAAGTATTGCACGAAGGTGCTGGACCTGATGCATCGCTGCTCAGGTCCCATGGTCATGGTGACCGATGGCCAGCAACCTTGGCAGCGGCTACTGTCGCTGCTGGGCCGAAGATGGCGCGCGCATTCGCTGCTGGAAGACTGCCTCTGTCAGGCAAAGACATGGCAGCCAGTCTGTGGCTTGGTCCGCGGACGATGGCATGTGTACATACGCAACAACATGCCGCAGCGTGATCCTGTTGCAACATACGTCTACCGGCCAGGTAGCCATCAGCACCACGCCAAAGCTCCAGGCTGTTGCTACGCTGGGCGCGGCACGTCTGCCGGCCAGGTAGCTATCAGTCCCGAGCATGGGTGTTGCCCACGAGGGGAGAACCCGAACGTGTTGCCTTTGCAGACATTCACAGTTGGCGCGGCACATGCCGCACCTGTAAGGCGCGAAGCCATACGCGTGCACGTGGCACATATGTCTGTGATGTAGACGCAGTGCCGTCGGCCCGTGACGCTCACTGTGCGCGGGGCACTTGGTGTGCGCGAGGTACTCGCAGTGCACGCGGCATTTGCCGTGCTCGTGGCACTCGATGTGCACGAGGCACTAATGGCAGTCGTGGTACACGAGGTGCACGACGTGCCTTTGGTGTACGGGGTGGTGCCCCTGTACACCGTCATGTCCTGGTATGGACTGTGCGTTATGCGGCATAGCACGCACACTGACCTGGTGTTGGTCGCCGCGATGCATGAAGCAACAGCTGGTGGTAGAGGGCAAGACACCTCACACCATGATGAAGTACCATTGCGGTACCTTGGTGTCGACGGAAGACACCTCTACGTCGATGGCACGATGGCCATGACGCGGGACAGGACATTGAACAAGTCCGCCGCGTTGCTCGGAATGATGAGCGGGCTGTGAGCAACAGCCGTGGTCCCCGGGACTATGGCGACGATGAAGCCCGATGCTTCTTGGCTTTGGTCAACGTTTGACCTCTGCCCATGGGTCGTGCCGACGACCGACACACTGCGCCGTGACGAGCGGGGTCATGTCGGACCGGTGTCATGGCCGGAGACGAGCAGCACAGCTCTCGCTATGGTTACGCTACGCGCTAACCTAAAAGGTGCCGTCCCTCGCGGGGGCCACCGCAGCACGAACGTGCCAGCGGGGCCCGTGGGCCATGCGACGCCAACTGCTGGTGGTCTACGAGGGACACAGCAAGTTTGGAGACATATGCAACCCGTGCCGAGGCACTCTGCGCCTGCTAGCGCTGTGGACACAGCCACTAGAGGCGTCGGCTTTGCGGCCAACATCGCCGAGGGCAGGGGGGTGCAGCGCGGGATGCCCGCTGCGGGCACAAGTCACTGTGGGTGTGACAATGAGGCGCGCCAGCCTTGCGGCGGCGGCGCCCGAGAATCCGACCTTTGGGTGTTCGGATTCTCTCGAAGCTGATTGGAGAATCAGATGTGATTCTCAGATAAGTGGGGGAGGATGTAACGGGGTACAATCAAGTGTACCCATTACATGAAGAGTGACGGGTGTCACTCTCCCGAGTACATGGTACATGGTACCAGTAGCTCCGCAAGCCAACCATTTGAGTTTGTGTGGGCTTTTGTATAGTTAACTTGTAGTTTGTATTACGACCAAGTTAACCTCTACCAAAATACAGTCAGTCTTATAACCTACTCCTTTGTAGCAAACCGTTCCCTTTGAGGCCGGGAACTGGTGAACTGCTGTTCACCTGGATAGTAATATCCGCACGCACTTCCTCTGTGCATTGTGCTGTGTGACCCCGTCACACCTCTCGATGACTCTATTGGACGATGAAGACTTGGAGCAGTCGCCGGGGCTCGAACGGTCGTCTTAAGTGCGGATCTCGGGTCAAAGTTCGCTGTAAGTTCGGATCGTACTTGAAGTCCTGGGTCTCGAACTTGGGTGTCGACGAGTCTTCGGCACCGGTCCAGAATGGCCAATCAGCATCCGCCGAACATTGCTGAACATGTCCTGACGACTCGGGTCGCCACTGAAGCTTGGTCGTCAGCTCGATTCTCGTTTACCGCCAAATCACTACACCACAGCTGCCCCCACTACTATGTGAACCACATGATGGCGAGCGTCGTGGTGCGTTCTGCTTCTGCTTCCTTTCGCTGTTAACGACGTCTGGTGTTGTTTGCCCCGGTTGCGTGCTTGGTAGGCGTCTGCGTTGTCGTAATGTCGCGCCGGTGGCTCGCTGCTGTAGGCTTACTTGGTTCCATGACTCGGGTTCGCACCGAGCCGTCGGGGCCGGGTTGGCGACCGCCGCATAGGGTCTTCGACCTCGTCCGGTATAGTGCCGACATATTGTCTGCCTTCGCCGCCGTTCGACGACCTTTGTTGAGTTGAGCAGCGGTGGCATCATCGCTTTCGTCAGACTCTGCTTCGTAGACAATGGCACGACACTCCATGACCGCTCGGCTTGATTCTGTACAACCACCCGGCTCTCGGGAACCATACGATGATCAGCATCATGATGCGTGATGACCTGGACGAGCTTGGTGAGGCCGTAGACTGCGGTAGCTCCTGGCGCATAGGCTTCAGCAAGTTCCTGCGGCCGATCCGGTCCTCAGAAAAACTTCTCAGCCACCATCTTGCCGTAGCGCGTCTGACCCAGCGTAGATCCTGCTTCAGGCGCTTCGAGTCATCGGCAGTTGTCAGCGCACCTCCGTCCGAGCTCCAAGCACACCAAGTCTTCACCAGCACTGCCCTTGAGTTGTCGGGGGAAGTTGTAGTTCGTTTCAATCGGGATTCTCCATTCGTATCATTCGCGTTCAATCTCCATGTAGCATGCAAAGCTGCAGTAGCCATTTTCGTCTGCACTCCTGGGCTGCATTACCCCAGGCGCAGTTCACCGTGAGGTTGAGTTGTCGCGGACGGGGGCTAGGCGTTGCGCACGACCACAACACTCTTCCAGCAAAGTCCACGTGCAGCATTGGTACTTGTAGACCGCAGAGGCTGGTACGCAGAGACCTCGATTCCATCAGTCTCTTTGCCCCGCTCCATGCACGGCCAGATACGACTGACCCAGTCGACGCGAGATCTCGGTGTGCTGTTGGTCTGTCCGTTCTCTGGATAACCTGCACTGTTTGCACAAAACTCGCATTCACCAGTCGTCGGCAGTGGTTCCATTGTCTTGCCGGTCCGGATCGGTGGCTTCGTCTTGAGCTTGGCTTGTGACGGAGTCATCGGCGCGGCCATGGTAGGCTCAATGCTCCTTGAACTACTGCTGGAGAAATCTTGGGACCGAAAGGAATCACCGGGAAGCACGTTCTGCGGGGATATCCCGTCCGGATCGATTTTGTAGATCACAGCTTGGAGTTGGTTGAGCTCACAGAGCGCGGCCTTCCTATCGCCACTCAAAACTACCTTCGACGTCTGAGATTCCAACGCTTCAGAAGCTAGCGAGTCCGCGGCAGCATTGTATTCCTGTGCGACGTGAATGTATCTCACAGATCGCAGTCAGGCCTTGACCTCCTCGTGGTAACTCGGTTGAGTCATCGCCCCGGAGTCAGCTGCCCCTAGCGAGTGCAACAACACCAGCCTTGAATTGCTAACAACGACCAAGTCGTCGGCACCGAGTTGTAAAGCCGCCAGCACGCCGTATGTCATACCGGCGCTCTGGGCAAGGGAGCTCGTCGTGTCGGCGAGGTAAGCGTTCGCGGCAACCATCAATTTCCACTCCGGTAGGCGCCACACAATCCATGCGCAGCTTCCATCTGCACCATACTGCCCAGGCTGTGTCAAGCCCGCGAAAGATACCACGCACCCCGTATGACTCTTCGGGAGCCGTGTCTTGGAGAGGCTTGACGCAGTAGGAGTCGTCGGGAAACTTCCCGTCGGTAGCCACGCGCTGTCATTTGTCGCATCACCCTCGTCCATGCCCAGTACGCTCATCACCGACATAAAGGTATGCTCCGCCATAGCGAGGGGAGTGTGCGCGTCGTAACGGGGGACCAGATGAGTTGTCGGTGCTTCATTGGTCAGGTCACAATGCGGTTTCAAATCCGGAGTGTCTCCGTTTGTCGCCACAGTCGGAAACTGAGTTATCGAGGGTTGATCGGGAGCAATTTCGGCCACTTGTGGATCGGCTGGCGTGTCGTCGGGAGCGACTTGACTGCTTCTGCCCGGTCCCAAGGAGCTTGGTTCCGGATCATTGCCCATTGGCAAGCCGTCAGAATCCTCACCCCCGTCGCTGTCGAACAGCTCCGAGATTTGCTCGCCCCGAGAGTATTCGGGAGGACGTTAGAGCAGTCCGGTTGGAATAGGGTACTCGGGTCGGTCCACTGCCGACGGCTGGCCGGCTAACCATTGAGCGTAAAGCTTGGCTTCCCGCTTGAGCAGCGTCTTATCGCGGGCCGCTTCGTAGGCAAGAACTTGCCATTCTCGATACTTGTCGGAGTCGAGTCGCACATATCCTTAAGACTTCGGCAACGACCCACACCACGAAGGTCGTGTGAGCCGAGCAGATCGTGAGCCGAGTGTCAATGTTCGTCAGTCGGATCCGCTGCGGGCGCCCCTTGTGGAACCGCTTCACCGTAGGGATGAGCTTGTTGGTCCGTCGGATCCACGGTGCGTGAGTCGTCGGGGACGGCCGCTTCCGTTGCAACCGGAACTCCTTCCAATCTCGGCCGGGAATCTGCAGCACATCGACCGGGCCTCCGTTGACGTGGACCCCTTCGGCCTCGTCGACCATGTTCTGCGTCTTGATCAGCGGGATCGTTACTTCGTCCGGTAGCTTGGTCGCCGCGTTGAAGAGATCCAGCCGGATGCCAGCCGGGATCATGAAGTCGGTGCCTAGCACCACGTTAACACCGGCATTGTGGTCGATAATCCACGTCTCGAAAACATAAACGCGTTCCCATCCGAGCGTGGTCTTAACGGACGCCCTCCGAGTCGTCGTCGCCTTGCCCTTAGTGATACCCTGGACCTCCATACACCGACCATGACCCGGAATATCCTTGATCCTCAGCTGGTTGGCATACTTCTCGGAAATAACACCGACGTTCGCTCCACTGTCCAGCAAGATCCGCGTCCGCGAGTCGTTGACCGCTCCGTTAACCAGCGTCCTCATACGTACTCGTCGGTCAAATTTCTGCGCCGACCACCATCCCATGCGTTTTCCGGGCAGGAGGCGTACCTCCACGTCGAGTCGTCGGCGCGATGTTTCCTGCACTGCACTTGTCATCCAGTCTTCGGCAGTGTCTTCAATCACTTCGTCATCACTCTTCTCACTCAAATCACCTCCACCGAGGCCTTCGCCTCTCTCCTTTTCGAATTCCGTCACGTTCACCCATGTACCTCGTCCTTCATCCGGCCATTCGCACTTGCCCACAAAAGCGTAGACACACTCCGCTTCGACTGCAGGCTCGGCTAACGGTGGAAGCCCGATTGGGACCAACCCAGTTTCAGTTGGCGGACTGCCTAGTTTAAATGTTCCGTGAAGAGGAGGTTCTGAGCTCAGGAGTGAGGTCCTTCTTGTCCACTTTGTTGCGAACAAGCTTGGTGAGTTCTTGGAAGACCTCGCACCGGCCTGCGTCGTATACTTGCTTGCACAACTGGCAGCGCCGGTTGCAGAAGTGGGCCGAGTGGGAAAGACCGCCACAGGCCGCGCAAGGACCGTACTGGTGTTGTCGATTGTCGTGACCGCCTCGGCTCTGGTACCGGTTGTCCCGACTGGGTTCCCGGCCACTCCGATCGCGTCGGGGAGGCCGGTTGTCGGACCTGGCGTACGTGCCGTCAGCTGCCGCGCGTCGCTCACTCTCGTTCGCAGCAGCCACGTAGTGGTCGCTGTCATCCGACGAGTAACCATCGTGTCTGCCTTCTTCGGAGTACCACGAGTCGTCGGAGCCTTGATCGCTGGCGGCGTCGCTGTCATCGTTGAACTGCTGGCGCGCACTGTCGCGTCCGGTCGAGGTGCTCCTGGCGTCCCGTCCTTGCAGCTCAGCGACTATGTCTTCCACTGATGCGTCAGCCAGGGTCACGCGAGGAACGTTCCTGGAGTCGTCACGACGACGCTCATAATCTCGTTCGCGTCGATCCCCACGGCTGTGGCCAGTTCGCGAGTCATCGCGGCGGTATCCGTCTCGGGTGTCTTGGCGGCGCCGGTCATCTCGGCGACGCGAGTCATCGGGACGCCTGTCATCACGTCGGCGGGACGGTTCCCGAGCCTTGGATCGCGACTGCGAAGACTCGCCCGAACTCTGTCGCTCTTCAACCTTCAGCCTTTCGATGATCATCTCCTCCAGCTCATGGATGTCCTTGATTCGCAGAGGAGCGAGTCGTCTCTCCAGCTAACGGTCGCCGCAAGTCCCCAGGAAGCGCTTGACGTGGTCCTTCGCCTTGCGGCCGCCGTTCTCGAACTGGACGCCTGCGTTGCGGGCGTAGCCGTTGAGTCGGTTCAGGTAGTCGCAGACGTGTTCCTTGTCGTCGCGCTTGGCAGAGTAGTATCGGGTTTCCGCTGACTGGCTGAACTGGGAGCAGTAGTAGCGGATGAAGGCTTCGCTCAGCAGAGTCCAGGTTCGCTTGGTCTTCTTGGTCAATTGTCGGTGCCAGTGTACCGCGCCGTCTCTCAGGCGTAGCTTGAAGGGCATGCACCATTCATTGGGCGGCGCGTGTGTACCTTTCATCTCGTACACAAAAGCGCGCAGCCACTGCATCGAGTTCTCGCTCCTGTTGCAAGCGCCCGAGAACGTCGGGATCTGCCCCAGTGGTCGGTGCATCGCTACCTCGAGCCTCGGCGTCGGGTTCACGGTCTCTGCGTGGCTCACCTCCCGGATCTGTCGCAGATATTCGTCCATTTGCGCACCTCCGTCTCCCGTGAAGTCATCGTCGTCATCAGATGAGTCGTCGGCGTAGCGGGACTTGCGACTTGAGCTTCGTCCGGTGCTTCGTAGACTGCTCCTGGTCACTTTCGAGTCTTCGGCACCACGCGCAACTCGGTCAGTACGAGTCGTCGCGGGTGGAGTGACCATGTGGGAGTCTTGAAAGTACGGCGATCACTCGCCCGACGCACTGAACACTCATCTAGTCGCAGCCTGGGTTGAGTTACTGCGCTCGGTCTTCTTCGGAGTTCGCGGGAGCGGGACGCGCGCTGGGTCAGCGCCGCCTTTGTTGATGCGAGCCGCCTTCGGCTGTTCCAAAGAGAAGGGGGTCACCCCGAAGGCTGTACACAACTTTTTCTTCCATTACCAGAGCTCGGCTCCGGCTTCCGCGGGCAGGAAACTCTCCAGCGTCGACGGCGACGGGGCAAGCGTGGGCCGGAGACCCAACGCCTTCAGGAAGTCACCGTGTCCTTCGCCACTTGCTCAACTGTGACCGCATTCACTGGTCGTGCCAACTGGTGGCTCAGGTCAGCCCACACCGCTTGGCGGATCATGCGCGGCTCGAAGAGTCGACCCCATTTTCGCTCGCACACATTGCTTCAAAGCATCGGCCGAGTACCTTGTTGGCTGCCGGGGTGCCTCCATTCATCGGCGGCCGGTTGCCCGAGGTTTGCTCGGTCACTTGAGTCGTCAGCACCGGCGATCGTGAGTCGTCGGCGCGGTCTTCAAACTCTTCCATGTCATCATACGCTGGCTCAGGGCCATCCACATCATCCAGTTCGTCCGCGAGGTTGCGCGAGATGGGAGGCGCGTCGTCTTCCAACTCGCTCGCGACACTGCGCGCCAGGGAGCGCGAGCCCCCGCTGCGCCCCGCGGACATCGCTGCATCTTCCGGAGTCTCGGGTGTCACCACCGCTGGCGCCTTCTCCTCCAGGTAGTCGTCGTATTCTTCATCCATCTCTTCATCTTTGGCGTCGGATCCAGTCATCGGCTCGTCGAAGCTGACGTTGCGCTCAGCAATCGGGCCGGGCTGCGGTGTGATCAAGACCGCCGTCGAGTCGTCGCCGCGCGTTCCGCCGGACTTCATCGGAGTTGCTGGTACCGCGGATTGAGATCCTGTCGCCATCTTCTTCTTCATCATCAGCTTCTTCTTCTTCTTCTTCTTCTTCTTGGTTGTTGCTCGTAAAGTCAGTTGACCTGCTGTAACACGAGACACAGAAGGTCACACCAATCCCGGGTCGCGGCACCAGTTGTCGTGTAGGAACACGCACTAAATTATATAATAGCACACTTTCCCCACCAACAACACCCACCAAGTCCCGATGACTCAATGGGCTTGTTAGGGTTAGAACCTGAAGGCCCAGGAACTTTCCCTTGCACCGGGTTGATGTTTCCTCTGCGCACCGTGTTTCCGCTTAGTCGAGCAAAGGCTGGCACGCTCTCACACGCAATATAAACCTCGCAGGCCCTCAGGAAGGAAGGGTCCCAGCCAGTCACGGCTTGATACGAGGGTACCGGAGCTATACTCCGGCGGGAAGGATAAATGGAGTGCGCTCTCGCTCCTCCACAACTCGGCGATGACTCGCCCTTCGTATACACGGCCACTTCTTCACTACTCTTGGCCTGACCACGGGTAAACGCACGCTACAAAACTAGCAGGCGCGTCCACCGAGAGTCATAATCCTACCAACAGGTTTATCCAATCGCTACGGGAACTCACCGACAGCCCGGACGTCTTCCTTGAGTGGTTGGGAGGAAAAGCTGTTCTGATCTTGTTGCCCAAAGGGCTTATCTGTTATATCTTCTCTTTCCTATGGTTCAATACAAATATCTAGTATAAACGCGTCCGTTTTGAATCTTCCCAAGTAACCACCGACCCTTCAGAGCCTCCTCGACGCCCCAAGAGGCCTCTCGATGACTCTATTGGACGATGAAGACTTGGAGCAGTCGCCGGGGCTCGAACGGTCGTCTTAAGTGCGGATCTCGAGTCAAAGTTCGCTGTAAGTTCGGATCGTACTTGAAGTCCTGGGTCTCGAACTTGGGTGTCGACGAGTCTTCGGCACCGGTCCAGAATGGCCAATCAGCATCCGCCGAACATTGCTGAACATGTCCTGACGACTCGGGTCGCCACTGAAGCTTGGTCGTCAGCTCGATTCTCGTTTACCGCCAAATCACTACACCACATGAGTCATTTCGCTTATTGTAAGTTATTTAAGTATCTGTGGCGCTTATCGTTAGGATGCCAGCCAAAGCAAACGCTGGTCGTGGAGAAGTAGAAGTTATAGCGATCCATTCGTACCGTGGCGTCGTTCAGGTGTTGAATTACTCGCGATGATCGATACACCATCAAAATGAAGCGTTGAATATCTGCGGGGTTGGAAACAACGGATGTTATCACGATACTATGCGTCAAGCGGTACAGCCCAGACCAACGTGGGTTCATCAAAGTGCTCATCGGGTTCTACATCTTTTTAGTCTCGCGACTCACGCAGAGTGATAAAGACTGAAAGACGCTGACACTGTCACGAGTCGCGCCCAATGAAGCGGTTATTAGATGCTGTCAAGGTGACAGCACCTAGAGATGGTCACCTCTCCTGGCTAACAGCAGAGCGGAAGCTCGTCGCAGTGTGGCTCGTCCTGGGGGTACTGCCTCTGGTTCTGCAGATTCGAAGCTACGCGCAGTTCGTCAAGCCTCACATGTTGCCCGAAGCCCTCGTAGTGCCGCCCGATCAGGAGAAGAAAACCGCGAATCTGACCCAAGTCTGTCCGGCGGAGGCGTTCGTCCTGGCTGGAGTCTGGTGGAACATCGAACCAGCTCACTACTACACGACCGAGAACGGGATCATTTGCCATACAGTCACGTCGCAGTACAACACGCATCAAAACTACTTCATCGGCAGCTCCAAGGTAGAACCGTACCGTACGACCCCATCCAGTTGCGCCAACGACAGCTTCACTTTCCACGCGTACTTGTACCACGCCAGCTTCGGGTTCTACTCGTTCTACGGAGGAAACATTGGCACGTATTGCAGCAAGGACAAGAGCGCGTACCTTGTCGTGGAAGTTTTGGGGGCGTATGACATCAACGGACCTTTGTTGGCTAATGACACGGGGAGCACGGAGTCCAGGAGGTCGTACTGGTATAGCACGGCGGGCGCATTGTGGCTGGTGTATCGCTGTCTTGTTATCCGTCGGAGCTACTTGTTGCTGGGGAGCTATGGGCGCAGATGCGATGAAATGGGAGAAACCTTGCACCTAGAGGCGGTGGTCGTGTTCGTTCAGGAAAGTTTGCGACTGTCGGCGCATGGAGCGACAAACTACCATCGAGTGGGGTTACTCTACCTGGTGGTGGAGGGGGTCATGACCGACGTGTTCCTCATTATCGTGAAAGAGGGTTGGGCTACCAAAGTGCAGTACGCCTCGTTGGGCTATAACCTTTCGGGGCTGATGCTGCTGTTGTTCGAGATGGTGGAGAGTATGCAGTGACTAAGTGAGAAGTGGCGCCTACGAATCAATAGATCGGTTTTCAGCTACGAGACAGCGCTCTTTGGTGGGTTTATCGTGGCGATTGTGTTCCAGTATTTCCTCACTGCATTGAACAAGTCCGACTTGAAGCGACCGAAGGCTGAAGCGCTCGCCGTGTCCTACTACTTCTGGAGTTTGGTGTGCCATGGCATCCTCGTGGTCGTAGTTATAGGGATCATCCTGTCAGTTCGAGTCATTTGCGCGCTCGTATACGTTTGGTCCAAGTATCGATCCTTTGCAGTGTTGTCTGAGCCCTGTTGTGTCGATACAGCGCTGGCAGGGCGAAGTAGGATCATACTATTAGCGAGTTATCATTGGGAAGACGGCAAACTTTACTACAAACCAGACGCGCTGAAAGCGTTTGGTATGCTGAAGATGGAGGAGGACGGTGTCGAGTATTTGGTGTTGCACAAGTTGCAGTGGTTTTCGGTCCCTCAAGACAATTTGGTCGGAATTGGGAAGATATTGGGTGAGCGAATGGATCCTTGCAACGAGCGACCTTACTCGGGGGTGGTTAGTTTCCTGAATAGAATGCTAGGTGGTGTTTCACCGCAACTGCCCCCCCCCCCCCCCCCATCGTGCTCAGCGGACATTTTGAATTGTAGTCAGACCACATAAATCCAATGCTCGTCCTTAGTAATTTGTGCTCCGGGCTCTGATCGCTCTATGATACTGTTTGATGCTTGCTTCCGCCTGATCAGCCAGAATACCACGAAGCTATGAACGAAAGGAAGAAAGAAGTAAATGTGCTCAGCTCTCTTCCTGATTACGTACGGATAGCCTTCAAAGTGCTACTTCAAGTCATGAGCTCGGCGTGTCGCCTTAATTCGCTTGGCCTCAGACTTGTGTTTGCGCGCCGCTGACTGGGCCTTGCGTTTGGAGCTGGTCTTCGCTGTCGTCTTCACAATAGTCGCGCGGGTCTCGATAAGCTGCAATGCGATAGAGTCCACCAAGTCCACCAGAAGCTGCACCTTGAGCGTTTTCACTTCCTCCTCCAGTTGGTCCCTCTCCGCTTGCAATTGTTCGACCTTCAGCTCCAACTGTTTCACCCGCAGCCTCAGAAGATGGACGTGTTGGGGGGTCAACTCCCCTGCTGGCTCCTTGTCCAAGGACGCTTGGTCCCTGGACTCCTGTCCTCGACGTCTCTTCTCACCGGTAGCTCTAGTGAGTTGCTGCCGACTTGTAGCTATGGGGGTGAAGAAGGAGCTTGAGTTGTCGGCGGAAGATTGAAGAGTGGCGATAGAGTAGAGGTGACGCCGGGTTCTTGTTGAATATGCTGGAAAATTACCCGCGAAATTATTCATTATCACCAATCTTCTATTATTTTTTGCTATTTTTTGCTATATTTTACTGCAATGACTCATATATGAGTCAGACAACAAAGCAGGATACCTAGAGCGCTTAAAACAAAGCGAAAGTGATGTCCTTTGTTGCGGCGTTCGCAGCGTGATCGTCGCTGGTAACGATGCAGTCACGAAGCATTTCCTTACCAAACCTATTGAAAACATGCAATATAGTTAAGCATATCGTGAAAATCGCGTTCCCTGTTCATAGAATGAACTTCATACTGACGAGAAGTTCAAAGTTGCGTCTTCTCCACGTCTGTTCTCCACGTTATTACCGAAACCAATAAAACTAATAAGTGCTAAAACGACGTGTGTTAGTTATTTCAGGAGTCGCGCCGAAATAAGCAGCTCTTGCACGACAAGGTGGTGTGTCCTAGAGCTCCTGCTTGACAGCACAGCGAAAGCTGCTTGCCGTGTGGCTCGTCATGGGGGTGCTGCCTCTCATTCTCCAACTACGAAGCTATGCGCAGTTCGTCCGACCGCACAAGATGCCCGAAATCCTCGTAGTACCGCACGACCAATTGCAGGAGACCGCCAACCTGACCCAAGTCTGCCCCGTACAAGCCCTCGTGCTGGCTGGCGTCTGGTGGAACTTCGAGCCAACGCACTACTTCACTACGAGCAATGGTATTGTTTGCCACGCGGTGGTGCCGCAGTACAACACGCATGGCAACAACTTCATCGGCAGCTCCAAAGTAACCCCGTATCGCACAGCTCCATCGAGTTGCGCCAACAACAGTTTCCCGCTTCAAGTGTACTTCTACCACGCCAGCATCGGGTTCTACTCGTTCTACGAAGGAGAAGTCGGGACATACTGCAGCAAGGACAAGACCGCGTATATTGCGGTGGAAGTGTTGGGGGCGTACGATATCAATGGGTCGTTCCTGGCTAACGACACGGGGAGTACGGAACCTAGAGTATCTTACTGGTACGGAGTCGCTGGGGCCATTTGGCTCATGTATCGTGGACTCTTGATCCGTCGAAGATATTCATTGCTGAGAAACTACGGTCGAAGGTGCGATGACAGGAGGCGGTGATCGTGTTTGTCCAGGAAAGTTTACGACTGTCTGCTCACGGGCGACCAACTATCATCGGGCGGGGCTGCTGTATTTGATTGTGGAAGACATCATGACCGACTTGTTTTTAATTATTGCGAACGATGGCTGGGCAACACGGATTCAGTACGCGTCCTTGGGCTACAACCTCTCCGGACTGATGCTAATACTGTTTGAAATGCTCGAGAACACCAAATGGCTGAGTGAAAAATGGCGCCTGCGAATCAAGCGCTCAGTTATTACCTACGAAACCTCGCTCCTCGGGGAGATGGTTGCCGCTCTTGCGTTCCAGCGTTTCCTCTCCGGACTGAACAAATCCGACTTGAAGCATTCAAAGCCAGAAGCACTCGCAGTATCCTACTACTTCTGGAGTTTGGTGTGCCACGGTATTGTTGTACTTGTTGTCATCGGCATCATTTCATCTGTTCGGGTAATTTGCGCGATGACGTACGTCTGGCTCAAGCATCGGTCCTTTAAATTATTTTCCGAGCCGTGTTGTGTAGATACAGCTTTAGGCGTGCGCAGCAGGATCATGCTACTAAGTGGATACCAGTGGGAAGACAGCAACCTCTACTACAAACCGGAAGCGCTGAGAGCGTTTGGGATGTTGAAGATGGTGTAGGACGGCGTTGAATACTTGGTACTGCACAAGCTGCGTTGGTTCACGGCCTCTCGAGATGATTTAATCGGTATCGGGGTCATTTCGGGCGAGCGTGTGGAGCCTTGCAATGAGAGGCCTTGTTCTGGGGTGATTAGTTTCTTGGGCAGGATGCTGGGCGGTGCTTCGACACACACAGGTTACTCAACAAACGATTAGAATACTGGTTGGACCTGATAAACCTAATGATTCCCAAAGACCTTGACCCTGATCGAAATTCGCTCGGAAACGAGCTGTGTACATTGCAACGGAGCTGAATCGGCCATGATAACGCGGGTGGTTTCCCAATGGTAGCCGTAACAGAGTTGGATTCGTCCGTTTTCAGCCTTATTTTCGACCTACCGTGGACCACAGTTGCCCATACTTGCCGATGAAGAAGAGCTCGCAACAGAGCTACCATGTGCCTGCAGCTAGACCGTCGAGAGATGGGCTCTCCTCCTTATTCACAGCGCAGCAGAAACTACTATTCGTGTGGCTTCTCGTGGGAGTGGTGCCTCTGATTCTGCAGTTGAGAAGTTATGCGCAGTTCGTCCGGCCACACAAGATGTCCGACATCCTCGTAGTATCACACGATCAGCAGAAGCAGACTGACAATCTGGGCGAAATCTGTCCTGTACAAGCCCTCGTGCTGGCTGGTGTCTGGTGGAACTTCGAGCCAACGCACTACTTCACTACGAGCAATGGTATTGTTTGCCACGCGGTGGTGCCGCAGTACAACACGCATGGCAACTACTTCATCGGCAGCTCCAAAGTGGCTCCGTACCGTACGGCACCGTCCAATTGCGCCAACGACAGCTTCCCGCTTCAAGTGTACTTTTACCACGCCAGTATCGGGTTCTACTCGTTCTACGAGGCAGAGGTGGGGTACGGTGGACAAGATCGCGTATATTGCGGTGGAAGTATTGGGAGCATACGACATCAATGGGTCGTTCCTGGCTAATGATACTGGTAGTACGGAGCCTAGAGTCTCGTACTGGTACGGAGTCGCAGGGGCTATTTGGATTATATATTGTGGACTCTTGATCCCGTCGCAGCTACTTGTCCTGTAGGCGCTATGGTCGACGGTGTGACGAGCTAAGGGAAAAACTCGACCAGCAAGAGGCGGTGGTGTTCGTACAGGTAAGCTTGCGGTTGTCTGCGCATGGGGCGACAAACTACCACCGGGTAGCTTTGCTCTACCTGATAGTGGAAGGAATCATGACCGACTTGTTCCTCATTATCGCGAACGATGGCTGGCTTACGCGAGTCCAATACGGATCTCTTGGCTACAACCTGTCCGGTTTGATGTTGCTGCTGTTCGAGATGCTGGAGAACACAAAGTGGTTAAGTGAAAAGTGGCGCCTGCGAGTCAAGCGAGTGTATTTCAGCTATGAGACGGCTCTAGTCGGCGAGCTGGTCACGGCTCTCGTGTTGCAGACCATTCTGTCAGGACTCAACAGGTCCGACTTGAAGCACTCGAAGCCCACAGCTCTCGCCGTGTCCTACTACCTCTGGAGTTTGACGTGTCACGGCGCAGTCGTTTTGGTCATCATCGCGATCATCTCGTCCGTTCGGGTGCCGTGGGCGTTGACATACGTATGGCTCAAGTTCCGATCCTTCGCTGTACTCTCCGAGCCGTGTAGTGTTGATACAGCTCTGGGGGTACGCAGCAGGATTATGCTTCTAGGTGGATATCAATGGGTGGACAACAAACTTTACTACAGCCCGGGAGCCTTGAAAGCGTTTGGGATGCTGAAGATGGAGGAGGACGGCGTCGAGTATTTAATTCTGCACAAGTTGCATTGGTTCACAGTCCCGCAAGGCAATTTGATCGGAATCGGGGTCATCTCGGGCGAGCGTGTGGAGCCCTGCAACGAGCGACCTTGCACAGGCGTCATCAGCTTCCTTGACCGCAAGCTAGGAGGGATCTCAGCGCACGCAGGGTATTACTATCGCACCCAACGCACACTGAGAATTGTAGTCGCGACGAATGAGCCAAGTGAGCTGCCTCAGCACGTTCAAGATGCGAGTTTGAAGTAGCTGAGCGTTGGGTTGAATGAAAAAAAATTAAGCCTGCTGACAGCAATTCTGAAACAATTGAGGCGAGGTGCAATAGAGCGAATGGTCTTCACCAATGAGGCGGCTATCGTTGGCAGGATACGGTGGGGAGATGGCTACAGAATTGGGAGCTTTGAAGCGTGTGGGGTGTCAATGCGGCAAAGTACAGTACTGCGCAGGCACTAAAAAGGGTAAAGTGCCGTGGTGGCCTGTCATGCGTCGTGGCCAAAGCCTCAACTTCATTGCCCACGGGATCTAAGCGGATACTGTAGCACCAAAGACGTTCCTCTCTTGCTCGTTCATTCCAAGCGCCGACGCTGCTCGACCGCCAAGACATCAACAAAAAGCACACACGCGAACAGATCCGTATGCTGCGCCATACGTACGCACAGCCAGATGCATGGTTCTCCACCGAAGAAGTCCTGGTTTCCACCGCGCCGCAGAGCAGGCAAATTGGCACTGTGCAATCGACTGCAACGCCGGCCGGCCACGTACGTCACGCTCTGTGCGACACGCGCAGGCTCCGTTTCTCTATCACTTGATTAAAGTATGGAGCGTATCTTTACATTTGCTCGGCCACGCCAGCGCGTCAATGGCAGGACGAACCGTGACTACCCGGAAGCACACTTACTGGTGCCCGTCTTGAGCCCGATCGAGGCGGTATTTCTTTAGTAAAACAGACAACGCGGCTTGCACCACCACCACCAATTGAAATTAAAGTGTTTTATGACACTGCTCCTTCAAATTCGTAACTAATTTTAACGTTGTGCCCCACCATGCGAAGGGCATCTTCAAAACTACACATAAGTTGTCTGTCGGAACTCTAGTGGCGTTCCTCAGCTGACTTTGTCGTTACGTTAGGCGCTGGACAACACTGGAATAGCAATCGAGCCTATGACACTGTGGTAAGTTATTCATCGCACCGTTCACATTCATCTATCATAAACACAATTTTCCGTTCACAAGACACACTACACAATTCTGGCCGTAAGCTTAGTTTCGACAACTGTCCCTGCCGTTCAACTCCACCGCGTAAGCATGGAAAATCGGTACACACACTCGAAAAACGCATCGCCAACGCCACTTCTCCTACTGCTGCTGCTGTCTTGACTTCATACATGAAGAAAAAGTGTAACGTTACCATCATTTCTTCCTGGCAAAAAAGCTACCAGGTAGCCATAGACGCCCGACCATGTGGTGCAATAGTGGCAAAAAGCAATCGACCCATGCAAAGATTCCTCACGAGTCAAGCCCGTTGACCCCCTCGAGCCAAGCCGAGAAGATCTCATTCTCGAATTCGCTTCGAAGTCGACAACACCCCCACTCTCCTCTCTTCTCCTCCCTCTGTCAAGATGGCCAAGCTCAGCGTCAAGAACGTGGACGTCAAGGGCAAGCGCGTGCTCATCCGCGTGGACTTCAACGTGCCCTTCGCGCAGGACGGCTCCATCTCCAACACGCAGCGCATCGACGCCGCGCTGCCCACCGTGCAGTACGTGCTGGACCAGGGCGCCAAGGCCGTGGTGCTCATGTCGCACCTGGGCCGCCCCGAGGGCAAGCCCAAGGCCAAGGACTCGCTGGCGCCCGTGGCCGTGGCCGTGGAGCAGAAGCTCGGCCGCAAGGTGACGTTCCTCAAGGACTGCGTGGGCCCCGAGGTGGAGGCCGCGTGCGCCAACCCGGCCGAGGGCAGCGTCATCCTGCTCGAGAACCTGCGCTTCCACGTCGAGGAGGAGGGCAAGGGCAAGGACGCCGAGGGCAACAAGGTCAAGGCCTCACCCGAGGCCGTGGCCGCCTTCCGCGCCTCGCTCAGCAAGCTCGGCGACGTGTACGTGAACGACGCGTTCGGCACGGCCCACCGCGCGCACAGCTCCATGGTGGGCGTGGACCTGCCCGTCAAGGCCGCCGGCTTCTTGCTGGACAAGGAGCTCGTGTACTTCGCCAAGGCGCTGGACAACCCGCAGCGCCCCTTCGTGTCCATCCTGGGCGGCGCCAAGGTGGCCGACAAGATCCAGCTCATCATGAACATGCTCGACAAGGTGGACGAGATGGTCATCGGCGGCGGCATGGCCTACACCTTCAAGAAGGTGATCAACAACATGGAGATCGCTGACTCGCTGTACGACGCCGAGGGCGCCAAGATCGTGCCCCAGATCGTGGAGAAGGCCAAGGCCAAGGGCGTGACCCTGCACCTGCCCGTGGACTTCGTCATCGCCGACAAGTTCGCCCCGGACGCCGCCCAGAAGACGGCCACCCAGGAGGAGGGCATCCCCGCCAGCTGGATGGGCCTGGACGTCGGCCCCAAGTCGCGCGAGGCCTTCAAGGCCGCCGTCACCAAGGCCAAGACCGTCGTCTGGAACGGACCCATGGGCGTGTTCGAGTTCGAGGCCTTCGCCCACGGCACCAAGGCCGTCATGGACGCCGTGGTCGCGGCCACCGAGGCCGGCGCCACCACCATCATCGGCGGCGGCGACACGGCCACGTGCTGCGTCAAGTTCAACACGGAGGACAAGGTCAGCCACGTGAGCACGGGCGGCGGTGCCAGCCTGGAGCTCCTGGAGGGCAAGGTGCTGCCCGGCGTGGACGCCCTCTCGTCGGCGTGAACCGCTTCCTCGGTCAGGAGGAGCGGGCTGTAGTCAGTGTTTCTCGTGCCATCTAATCGCAACAAATACATAGCATTCCCAACTCAACCCGGTGACGGCCGAGCGTTGCATTGCCCGCTTGTTGGGCGAACCCGTGCAGCACAGCACGAGCAGTTAAACGCGATCCAAGCCGAGCCTTTGGGCGTCAATGCTTTCAAAGCACTGGCCAAAGCATTGCTTTGGCCGCTGTGCCGTCGTCGTCGGCAATGGATGGCGTCGCAAGTGGCGATGGTCCTCGACGCCAAGCAGCAAACGCGTCGTGGACATAACGCCAAACGGGGCGTGTCTTTGACTCGCGCGAGGTGTCCTCACGCGGGCCCGCTGATACCTTGGCCTTCGGGCTCGATTGGCGGCCGCAGACCGATCTTCTAGCGCTCAAGTGGAGGACGGACGCAACGCAACTCGAAGACGTTTTTGCAAATGGGAAAATTATATGAGGGGAAGGATACGTTACGATACACAATGCAAGGACAAGAAGTGAGAAGCACCCTCCTCCTCCGTGGGCGGTCGATTGACGCGCGCGCGCGACTTGAGCAGCCCCGCTCCCATGGCAGTACGTCATACGCGGGGCGATTTCCTCGGGGCCCGAAGCGCGGCGGTGTCAATCACAAGTGACGGCACTTGCCGAGTAGCAAAATCCCCAGCGCCAGGGCGGGCGCCTTACACCTCCGTGGTCGAGTACGAGCCCGTGTAGCTGATCTGGTCGAAGCCCGTCATGGCCGCGTAGTTGTTGAACTGCTGCTGGGACTCGTTGTACTCGCGCTCGGCCTTGTGGCTGTTCCACTCCTCCATCTCGCGCTTGTAGCGCGCGCGGTCGACCTTCTCCTTCTCGACGAACGGGGCCTTCTGCTCGTCCGTGGCCTTGGCCCAGGCCTCGCCCAGCTGCTTGGAGATCTCCGTGTTCTTCATGTCCTGGTGCTCGGCCTTGATGCGCGGGCGCATGACCTGGCTGTAGAAGAGGAAGGCCGAGGACGCGCGCTTGGGCGCGTCCGGGTGCTTCTTGGCGCGCTTGTTGGGCACGCGCAGCGGGCCGTCGTAGGCCGCCATCTCCTCCTCGTAGCGCTGCTTGTCGGCCTCGGCCGCCACCTTCCAGGGCTGCTTCTCCTCGTCGCCCATCTTGCCCCAGGCGTCCGCGATGGCGCGCATCACGTCCGTCACCTTGGAGTTCTCGGGCATCGTGGCCTTGATCTCCTCGCGCTTCTCCATGGAGAACAGGATGTACGGGGACTTGCCGCGCTTGGGCGCGCCCGGGGCCTTCTTCTGCAGGCGCTTGCGCTTCTTGCCGCCGGCCGCCTCAGTCTTGATGGCCGCCCACGCCGCTCCAGCGCCATGCTCGCCCGCCGCTAGTGGTTCCATACTGTCGAAATAGCCGGTCGAAGTCGTTAACTATACTATAGTCAGCGCAGGAGAAAAGGGAGAATGAAAGGCTCTCAGTATGGGCATACCCAAGACAAGAGAAAGAAAATTCCGGGAGGGACGACGCGTTTCAAAGCGCACCTGATGTCTATCGAGCAACAGGCGGGGCGAGATTTACTCGTTGCGATTCGTCAATATCCCGTTTGAATGGCTACGTCCCGGATTGAACTGTGCATTCGCGACGATGCTAGCTTCAGTTTGCACCGGTCATTGCAGGACACAACCGCCAGGGAAAAGGCGGGAGATGCGCGCGGGAAATTCCACCAATGAAACAGCAGTATTCTGGTCGAGTGGATACGCTTCGACCATTGGTCAAAATAGCAGTGAATCCTGAGGATTTGAACGATATTTGTTGTTGTTTCTGGTCGAGCGCCTCGACTCGAGCTCTTTGCTACAGTAAACGATCAAAGTCTCAGTGGGATTAACTACCACTAGTACGCCATAACAGAACTTAGCACGACTATGCGATTTTACTATCATACAAGGGCGGTTTGCAGCGATTATAATCATAACTTAGCACGGCTAAACACCATTTGCGAATTTACTATCATACCAGGACGGCGGGTTTGCAGCGATTATAATCATTAAACATACATTTTCAATTGTAGCGACCCTACAAGTACACTAATCTGCTTTTTTACTTTATGATTCCACTTCCAAACTTTGCCAACCCTTTATGAAGATGCGATAAACTTTCGATAAGTGAGGTATCCGTGGCATTAGTATTTTTTACTAGGGGAAATGGCCAATCTCGGGCCGATAGCCAATTCAGGGCCGTTTTTGTAAATCAATAAAATAGCCGACTCACACGAGATAAATCCTCGTTGACTACTTATATGCGTGCCATACAAGGGACAGACTTCCACCCCATAGCGAAAGGAACTTAAATGAATCGATTAGCCCTGCCGCTGTTGTTTAGTCGCTCCTACCGCGCTTATTTTTTGAGGTCGCAAGCTATAAATTAGTCTAACAAATCGGCAAGAGCATGAGCTATTCATTGGTATCCTAGCTGTTTTACTTTTTGCGTAGATGCATAAAAATTGGAGACTAGGTAAAATTGGCCCGAGATTGGCCATTTCCATTACCATTGAATAAAATCATTTTGGGAACGAAGTCCCCCCTATAATCATGAGACTCCGTTTTATGGAGTTTTTACGTCTCTTATATACACTGCGCTTTACTTTTTACATTAATTCTGCGAATGGGTTAGGGTCACAATTTAGAATCGCTCACACGGGGACCAAAAACTAAACCAAATACCTCGGTTAAACAACATTTGGATGCTTATCGGAAGGTGGTATCGGCACGGTTTTTTCTGAGCTGGACCGACGTCACTATCTTTTTAATGCCATAAAACCAGAGGGCAAAGTTATGAAACAGCAAATTCGACCGTTAGTATGGAGGACATCAGAAATAGACTTAAACGTGACATTTTACCCTTATTTGGACCCGCTTAGGACCCTTTATTAAGCCTATTTGCCTTTCAAACCTTATGCTGTCGTAAGAAGGGTCGCTCGGCGGCCGTTGGTAAGAAGTATGCGGCCCTTCGGGATCGCTTGACCAGCGCATCAACAAGCAGAGCCTCAAGGAAGCGCCAACGCTACGCCAAGTAGCAAGCAGCTTTGCATGCTGAGGACCGGGTACTGTCGAGAAGCAACTTCTCTAAATTACATTGAAGGCTATGCGCGGATGACGAGCTGGACGATGAGCTGGGGTGTACGAGCCGGAGTCCGTGTCGGTGCTTCTTGGTAGCAACAATGGCTCTCTTTTGGCCCGTTCGAGCTCGCCTGCTACTTCGCTTTAATAGGCGTCGCCTCGAACAGGGAACATTTTTCCGTGCACATCATAAATTCGTTTTTATTAATATGGCTCGGATCGACCTGAAACTTTGGCAACAAGCTCTGGTTGGTCATGGATAGGTAATTAGAAAGTTTGGGAAGAAGTGTGCTTGTGCTCCAGGTGCAATGAACACAAGATCAGCACGCCATACTGAATGTAGTCAGAGGTTTATTGCAAGTTTATCATAACTGAACGGTCGCCGCTGCTTTCAGCTCCCTCATCTGGGCATCTGCACAATGGCGACCGATAAAGAAGAAGATGGTTCGCTGTTAGTGCGCACCAGAAAGCGCAAGCAGTCTCTAGGGCAAGGTGTAATATGTAACAAGGAAAATGAGAGCTTGCAGTCTGATGCTGCTGCGGCTGCAGCTGGATCAAAGCGTCTCCGAAGCTGCAATAACCCCGACTATCCGGTACGCTAAAAGATCTCAATCACTAATAGCTTACTGAATTATACTTTTTGAGGTCTAACCTTGAGCTAATGAACACACTCTTTATTTCTCTCTCTTTGTAATTACCAGAGCAAAGGCGTCAACGTGGCAATTGCAATTGCTAATGCCGCCAAAGCTGGTGCGGAAGCTCGTGCACGGCGAGCATCCCAAGCACAGATCCAGGAACGCCGCAAAAATGGTCCAGATCACTATTCTTACCTGATAGCGGATTCAATCAAGGCTGCTGCACTCGCTGGCTACAGATCGCGCGTTCAGAGGGCTGCCCGCGCGAATGATTTTAGCGCTAACCGCACGGAACGCAATGCTGGGGGTGGAGGTAGCTTTGCTGCAGCATTTACCGACAGCAGGAAGCAGTCAGCACGCGAGAATTCGGACCTCTTTCAAGCTGACCAAGATGTTCAAACGGGGTGCTCGTCGGAGAAAGCGGCGAAGAGCAGCGTCGATCACATGGGAGGAGACGTGTGTGATAACCTTGTAGCAGACATCAAATGCTATGCAGGACGTCCTATCGACTTTGCTGTGGTTTGTAGTGCTGGCAATGCACGATCTCGGAAGCCTCAGCACCAGAAGGATGCTGCATGCGGCGCACGAAAAGAAGGTAAAGCTGAAGAGTGGTCTTCGCTGCAGGTTTCGCACCAGATTTTACGGGATATGGGTAATGATACTGGTAGTGAGCTGTGTTGTGTGGCGTATGAACGTGGGGAATCCGATAATACTGAATTGAAGTGGAGTAGATGTGATGGCTCGGTGATCGAGCACGACCTGCCACACGCATGCAGCCCCCGTGTCGAACTTGGAAAATCTGTCGCAATAGAGCCTCGAATTGGGGTTAGTACTCCAGTAGCAATTGAAGCGTTCGTGGCGACAGCGGAACGGAAATCACAGGCGTCACGCTCACTAAGCTTTGGTATGCAGACGGAAAATGCTGATAGAGACTTGCTTATCGATGTCGCTGGTAATAACGAAGCCGAGAGTGTCCCAAAGTCGTACGGTGAGGTGATACATGCTGCTGAAATCGATGCCACCGCTGATAACAGTTGCGAGCAAGGTCAAAGTTATAATAATTCCAGCCCCTTCAAATCCCCGCGTTTGCGACGTTCGAATCGGATTCAAGTCGAACGAATGTTTGTGAGTCCGCCGACATTAACGCCAACCCCTGTCCGCCGGACACTTCCAACAATTCGAGCACTCCTCAAGTTTTATTTCTCTTCCCGACAGTGAAGTGAAATCCTTTCTAAAGCATCTTCCGTCAAAGAAAACAAGATCAACAGCGGAATTCTGGACGGATTCGGACTCGAGCACGACTGATGCAGCATATCAGCGCACTGTGGCGTCCAATCTCGTGTTTCAATTACTGCAATGTATTTCAGAAACGTTGTGCGGCACCAGTGCATCTAGTGCGTTTTTAGAGATCTTTGCGACCTGGTTAAACCCGGTGACGTGTGCTAACGATACATTGATGACGACGTCTGCGAACGTATTAGCGAAAACGCGGAAGGGCACTCTCGAATACCGAAGTGTGCGCGCGCTACTGTGCGGTTCATATTCGTTGAAGAGCCTCCAAGATATTTGCATCGATGTTAATGGAGTTTGCATTGGACGGAAAGCTCACTTAGCGGGTTGCAGAGATTTTCAGATCCTTTTAGATGAAGGTGCGCTGGAAGTGAGTAAAGTCACAAGGCAAAGATTCGACCCAGCAGTTGTGTCTGAAGCTGTCCGCCACATCCTCTCCATGGAAAACGTTGCCTTTCTGTCTTGGGGGACGAAATCGGTCAAGTTGGACGGGGAGCGGGTATCTGTTCCTGCCATACAGAGGCGCAAACCGATAAATGTAATGTTTGACCAGTATGGGCACCAACGAACCCCTGGAAATATGGTGCCCGCACGAACATATTATCGACTAGCCGCCATCTTGACGCATGGTACGTCACAGCCTCGGAAGGCAGTAAATTACGTCACTGGGTTTCTGATCAACGATAATTTTCAATTACTCGATCGTATTGTCCGTGATCTGCTTCCCACAACCAGCACGAGTGTGCTCGAACGTCTTGCTATTTTGCGTGAGTGGCTTAAGTATGGTGGAGAACAAACGTTCGAGAATGGTCAACGTCTGGAAGAGAGTCACTGCCCCCGGCACTTAATTCAATTTGGGCTTGCGACCCCTCCTGTGTCGACGGGAGACACGACCAAGCCGAAGAAACCCAAGGAGAAGGCACCTAAACATTCGCGTGCGAAAGCAGCTCAATCTGAAACGAAGTCGTCGGCAAGAACCATCTCAGAGGCGGCAAATGGGCTCAACGCATCAAGCGGCGCTACTAAAACGTTATCACGTGCAGTGAGTTGCCAGCAGTGTATCGCCATGGACACCATTTTTACTGACCTCCGGCAGCAGTTGGAGGCAACAAATCCCGATCCAACGACACTTGAAGTTGTGGACGATGCTTACGAAAAAATGGAGCTCTACTTGGGTCACAGAGTACGGGTCACAAACCAGCAGCGCGCGATTCACGAAACTGCTGAACTAATAAAAACCAAGTGTATGGATGAAAGGGGCAGTAGTGATGCGATCATTGTCATTGATTTCAAAATGAAACTTGAGCCAATCTATTTCCGCGAAAAGACTGTTGATCACTATGGGAAACGAGGAATGTCGTGGCATGGA